CTCTGTCCTGGAAGGAAGGAGGTCGACTCACGCTAAGCCGCTTCGGGATGGACTCGGTCACGTGGGGGCGCGAGCTTCGAAGACGGTGCTTGAGAAAGTCCGGCAGGTGGAGGGGTGTGGCTGATGACTGGATGGCTGAGTCAGTCAATCACCGTCACTCGCCACAAATGGAGGGCCTTTCAGCTTTTCTGGTGGAGTGGACTCACTGCATCTTGCCACACAAGCACCCATCAGTGCCGTCTAACCCCGCTGCCACCTGTGACCGGATTTGCCAGCTGTCGTTCGCTAAGGGCCAAATTCATCCCCCACCAAATTGAAATTTCTTGATCACCACAATTATACCCCCGCCGCCGTGACCAGTTCGACGACAAAATACAACTGCCGTCGACCCCGCGCTTCCCAGTCGCATCAGCCAAATCGTCCGCCTGAACGAACCGAAAGCGATCGTCAACATGTCTCGATTTTTCCGCGGCGGAGACGACAGCTCCACCGACTCGTCGTCCGACGAGGAGGAGCTCTACTCCGAGGAGGAGGAGGAGGAGGAGGAGAAGGACCAGGAGGAAGACTCTGATGAGGAGGAGGAGGAGGAGGATGACTCCGACTCCGATTCCGACGACAGTGATGATGGGAAAAAGGCCGGTGCCTCGCGTTTCCTTCGCGATGCCTCTTCAGAGAGCGAAGATTCCGAGGACGAGGAGCGGGTAAAGGTCAAGAGTGCCAAGGACAAGCGCACCGAGGAACTGGAGGCCACCATCAAGCTCATCGATAATGGCCGCAAGATCGGTGACTGGGCTTCTATCTCCACAGGTAAGATGCGCTGAAATGTCGTGGCATACCCGACTGTGCGCTGACATTTCATAGAATTCGACAAGCTCAACCGCCAGGTCACAAAACTACAGGAGGGCGGCAAGACCCCCAAGGCCTACATCAAGACGATTGCTGAGCTTGAGGACTACATGAACGAGGCCGTTTCCAAGCAGAAGGTCACACCCAAGAAGATGAACGCGACCACTGCCCGTGGATTGAACGCCGTCAAGCAGAAGATCAAGAAGATCATCAAGGACTACCAGTCTCAGGTCGATGCCTACCGCGCAGACAACGATGGCTTCATGGAGTCCGAGGAAGAGGAGGAAAAGCCCGCTCCTAAGCCCAAGAAGTCTGACCGGCACCGTGAGCCGGTCGAGGAGACCGCTGAGGACGACGAGGGCTTCGCCACCGTCGGAAAGGGCGGCCGCACCCTGCAATTCACCCCTGAGAGCATCTTCAAGCACCTGCGCAGCATCATGGAGACCCGCGGAAAGAAGAACACCGACAAGCCGGAGCAGATCAAGATCATGGAGAAGCTCAACGAGATCGCCAACACCCCCTACCAGAAGATCCGCGTTCTCCTTACGCTCGTGTCTACTCGCTTCGACCTCGGCACCGGTGGTGCTTCTTACATGCCTATCGAGCACTGGAAGGCCGCCGAGAAGGAGCTTAACCAGCTCCTCGAGGTCCTCGAGAAGAACAAGGACTACATCGTCGTCGAGAACGCCGAGGAGTGGGACGACGACGAGAAGCCTCCTACGTTGGAGAAGGACCAGAAGTACATCAAGGTCCCTGGAAGCATTGTCTCCTACGTCGAGCGTTTGGATGATGAGCTCACCCGCTCGCTTCAAAACATCGACCCCCACACCTCCGAGTACATCGAACGCCTCACCGATGAGGCCGCCCTTTACAACACAGTTGTCCGCGGCATGCTGTACTACGAGTACCTCCTCAAGGATGCCGACCTTGAGATTCCTCAGGAGAGCATCAACCGTATTGTGACTCGCCGCCTCGAGCACGTTTACTTCAAGGTTAGTGATGGCATGTCACAGTGGCGTAAACTCTTTTCTAACTGTGTTTGCAGCCCGCCCAGGTCGTCAAGATCCTCGAGGACAACTGCTGGAAGAACGTCCCCTCCGACGTCGAGTCCGTCATCACCCCGCGCGACCAGGCTCAGGATGCCAGCAATCTCGTCAACGTCCTCTGCAACTACCTCTTCACTCACGCCGAGGGCATTCTTCGCGCTCGCGCCATGCTCTGCCAGGTCTACTTCCTTGCCCTCCACGACGAGTACTACAAGGCTCGTGACATGATGCTCATGTCCCACTTGCAAGAGAACATCCCCAACTTCGACGTCCTCTCCCAGATTCTCTACAACCGTACCCTCGTCCAGGTCGGTCTCTGCGCCTTCCGCCAAGGTCTCGTCTACGACGCCCAGAACACTCTGCAGGAGATCTGCGGCAGCGGTCGCCAGAAGGAGCTCCTCGCCCAGGGTGTCATGATCCAGAGATACAGTCAGGTGTCGCCTGAGCAGGAGAAGCTGGAGAAGCAGCGCCAGCTCCCCTTCCACATGCACATCAACCTCGAACTCCTCGAGTGCGTTTACCTGACGTGCAGCATGCTCTTGGAGATCCCCCTGCTCGCCCAGACCGGCTCTTCGCCCGACGTCAAGAAGCGCGTCATCAGCAAGACGTACCGCCGCATGCTCGAGTACCACGAGCGCCAGATCTTCACGGGCCCCCCCGAGAACACAAGAGACCACGTCATGCAGGCCTCCAAGTCTCTGGCGGCCGGTGAGTGGAAGAAGTCGACCGCCTTCATCCACAGCATCAAGATCTGGGATCTCATGCCCAACACGGAGGACATCAAGACGATGCTCTCCAAGCAGATCCAGGAGGAGGGTCTGCGCACGTACCTCTTCACCTACGCCCCCTTCTACGACACCCTCGCCGTGGACACGCTCAGCGACATGTTCGAGTTGGAGGCCAGCAAGGTGCTTGCCATTGTCAGCAAGATGATCAGCCACGAGGAGCTCGCTGCATCCCTCGACCAGGTCACATCGACCGTCATCTTTCGCAAGGGCGTCGAGCTCAGCCGCCTGCAGAGCCTTGCCCTCACTCTTTCAGACAAGGCGAGCGCGCTCATCGAGACCAACGAGCGGACGCTGGAGCAGCGCACCCAGGGCTCGGCCAACGCGTTCGAGAGACAGGGCGGGCGCGGCGGGCGCGGAGGTCGCGGCGGTGCGAGAGGCGGCAACCGGGGCGGCGCGAGGACGGGCGGTAACCCCCAACGGCAGGCCGGTGGTACCCAGTTCACGGGCGGCGCGTTGGGTGCCGCGGTCCGTGGTTAGAGTGGGGGAAGAGGAAGAACGGAACGGAACGGGCGATCAACGGTCTGGAGGTTTCACGCTTTGTATCTGCATTAGGGTTGGTTGCTTAATCTCAAAATACCGGCCGCGAGGTTCAGATGAGACAGAGCCTTGGCTGGTTAGGTGTTTGTAGCTTCAGGGAATAGAAGCTGATAGAGTCACGACTTGTCCACGATGCCGAGAGTGTAACGAATGTCACGATTTAGCGACTGCATCCGGATTTCTGGTCTACTGCCCGTGACGGCGATGATGGCTTAGGTGGATGCGGAGGCTTGCGGACGAAGAGTTCTAATCAGTGATTGAGCTGCAATCAAATGCTTCCAATAAGTCTGCAAGTGAGTTATCTTTAAGAGCTCCGAAGCCCCATCACGGGTAACCACTGGGCGTTTGAAGAAGGGGTGTGCGCGGAGTGCGGTCGTGTGGTCCTCGCACTGCGCTGAAGAGGTGAAGTGAACTTGCCACAATGTCTCACCATAAGGATAGCTAAGGTTTCTCGTACCAAGTGGACTACCTACGCAGCCACCCACACAGATGTGCACCAAACAGGCAGATAACCTCAGGAAACCATTGTAAAGAGCGTATATAGGCATTCGCTCTCCATACAAATCATTCTCCAGAGGATGGACCACTCCTCAGGCTTTTTGGACTGCTTGCTCACAGCTTCTCTCAACATCGGATCCTCTAGATCCACTCCTTAACCCGCCTTGCTAGCTCAATCGGTAGAGCGTGAGACTCTTAATCTCAAGGTTGCGGGTTCGACCCCCGCGTGAGGCTCAAATCCTCACCGCGATTGGCATAGCCACTCTACGGGTTAATCTTTTGCATATTTATTTGGTTCTTATTTCTTTTTGAGTCTCTTACAATACTCGGCGCATCTTGCGGTACTTCAACTCTTCTCTTTCTGTTAAGGCATCCAATAGTAGGAAGCAGCTCTTCTTTATTTACTCCACTCTTTTAAATATATTTCTTAGGTTGGTTGCTATCACATTAAACAATCAATCCCTGAGCAACATCGCACACAAGTGAGCACCCCGACTGGCTATATGGCTTGCGTAGTATTTCAAAGATCTGAGTCAGGAGGGGGAGACGTGAACGGCAACCAATCTGATGACGGCCAAAATCTAAATATTTAACCGATATGCTAATAGACGGGCAAGACTACCTTAGCATCAAGTTTGGGTATAATTTATCCTAGAATTCCACTGCGTACTGATGTCTCGGTAGTAGGCAGGTGGTCTAGGTAAAGTAGCAAGGTTATAATCTTCTTTAACTCTAAGTTGCACGAGCACATCCCACAACCGAATCTTGTCGGCAAGGAACGCAAAGAAGAAGAAAAAAATTGACAGCCGCGCGGTACACTTTTACTTCCAGGAGCCCTTGTTGCCTCTTTGAGCGGCGACCTACCTGGAAACAGTTCAGCCCACCCGCCGCGGGCGACAGGGAAGCACATTTTTTGATCGGTGCTGAAGGAGGAGGGGCGGCGCCGGTGGCGGCGCGCGCGGGCATGTACAAGGTGTCAGCCGGAAGAAAAACCTCTTTGAACCAAATGTATCCCACATAGATTTGCGAGGGATTTAAAAAAAAAGAACGAGAAATAAAAAGAGACCGGCTGAGTCCTCTTCTCCCTGCATTTCTTTCCCTTCCTCCTTCCCCAAAAGTCATGAGGACGGTAGCCTCCGGCTTGAGAATTCTATCCCAGAGCACTCGCGCACTTCCTCTCAACCCCGGACCTTCTGCGCGCATCGCATCCCGACGCATACCAAGAGCTGTCGCCCACAGCCACTTCGTAGCCGCCATCCCTTCGAGCATTCGCAAGTTCGGCGCTATGTCTGATAGCGCCGCCGAAGAGCCCCAGGCGGCGGCCACCGCTGCTCAACCGACGGGGCAGGCTGCTCCGGCCCAGCCTGAGTTGCCGCCTCTCACGCCGGCCGAGTTCAAGATATACAACCACATGGCGGAAAAGATGGAATACTTTGTAAGAAACGCTCCCTTATCCCGACGTCGGTGTTCATTCTGCCCACAAAGCGCCCCTCGTTCGCCCCTCCCTTCCATTACCTACTCCTTCCCATTCCCCGCCTCGTCGCCAGTCTTCATGGAAAAGCATCCTCGAGACCTCTTAGCCGGGGACGGACCCGACTGACATACCGCCTCGGCAGCACAACTACTTCCGCCACGAGTGGACGCTGCTCCACGACGCCGCCACCAGCGGCCGGCGCCCGCGGAACATGACGCTCAAGCAGTTCCTCGAGGCGGGCCTGGAATTCGCGCGGCACCTGACGGGGCACCACAACATCGAGGAGGTGCACGTGTTCCCCATGCTCGCGGAGCGCATGCCCGAGTTCCGCGGCGGCCGCGCCGAGCTGCTGCGCCAGCACAAGGAGATCCACAAGGGGCTCGACGTCTTCGAGGCCTACCTCCACAGCTGCCTCAACCGCGAGACGGAGCTCGAGCTCGGCGTCCTGCGCGAAAAGATGGACGGCTGGGGCGCCGTGCTCTGGACCCACCTCGACCAGGAGGTCGCCACGCTCGGCGCCGAAAATATGAGGCGGTACTGGACGAAGGAGGAGATGGGGAGGATGCGCATGTGATTTCTTTCTTGTTCCGGTCGCGCGCTCCCTCCCTCGCGTGCGCGCGTCCGCCGCGTTCTGCGGCGCGTTCTGCGGGTCGGGGAAGAGGGTTCTATATGGGTTCGGCGTTTGGGACAAATGATGCCCGGGGATAGCGGCATGGGTCTTTGTGTGTGGTTTGAAAGGTATCGACTTCTATTTGTATCATGAACACTGGAAATACGAAATCCGCATCTAAACTCCCTGCGGGGTGGTCTCGCGCAATCTCGCAACATTCGAGCCCTATTTCTCTCTCCCTGTCTGTCTCGAAGCGAGACAATAGCAGCCGCAACCTCGTCGGTCGCTGTTCTATGCTTGCCCTTTTTTTTTACTCCTCGTTCTGGCGTTCCTCGGTTTCCAATTCTATGCGGACCAGTAGTCCTCTCAAGCGGTCTCCTTCCACAGCTGGCGCATCTGAACGATGCCCGGGATACTGCCCAGCAGGCCGATGCCCATCTCCGGGACGAACCCCTTGTCCATGCTCCAGTGCACCGTGAGCGGGAACCACGACAGCTGCCGCGCGAGGGTCCGCGTCCAGGCGTCGGACCACTCCCTGTACTCGGTGCTGGCGACGTCCTCGCGGCCGCTGCTCACGGCGCTCCGTCGGCGCAACGCCTCGACGGCGAGCCGGCCTAGCTCGCTACCGACGAAGACGGACCAGAACCGTACGCTCCACCGGGCCGCCTTGCCCTGCTGGGCCGGCGTCAGCGGCAGCACGCCTTTGGAGGCGAGGTAGGACGAGGTCTCAAGCGACTGTAGCAGCAGGCACGCCGTCACCTGCAGCCAGGAGATGGCCCTGTCGAGCACCGCGGCGGACGAATCCTGCGCGGCGCCGGCCGCCCCCTTCTTCTCCCCGTTATCGTCGTCGGCGGCGGCGGCGGGCCTCGCGGGCGTCGTCATGAGGCGGCGCAGCCAGAGGTACAGCGGCAGCAGGGACCACAGCCGCATGATGGTGCGGGCCTCGCTGAGGAGGCTGGAGAGGGCGCGAAGGCGAGCGGCGACGCGGATGCCTAGGGAGGCAGCGACGGCGGGGGGCGGGGCCTTGGAGAGGAGGATGGTGGTGTCGGGGGGGAGGGAGAGGGCGAGGGCGACGAGACGGCGGGCGGAGCGGCGGAGGGCGGTGGCGCTGAGGGCGTCGAGGGCGGAGGCGGCGAAGCGCGAGGTGTAGCAGAGGAAGAGGAGGACGGTGTCGATGCCCGAGGGGGTCTGGAAGCAGCGGCTCAGGTGAGCGACGAAGGCGTCGAAGTTGCGGGGGGAGAGGGCGGCGAGGAGCTGGCCGAGGCCATGCTTCCCCTTTCTCGGGCCGCCGGCGGGCGTCGACGAAGACGAAGCGGCGGGGGCGAGGGCGGGGACGGGAGGAGCGACGGGTGCCGGGACGGGGTCGCCGGAGGGGAGGTCGGAGACGGCGGGCGCCTGGTCGGACGTTTCTGTGGACATGGCGGGTGCGCGTCTGTGGTGTGTTGGTGTTTTGTGATGGTAGGAGGGAAGAGAAGGGAAAGGGGCAAAAGGAGCTCGGGACGATCGAGGGTCTGTGACTGCGGGACAGCTCTTCGGAAGGGGCAGGGGAGGAAGGGGGGTATGTTCGAGCTCGGTGTCGGTGGTAAAGCGTTATCCCGAGGATCGGTGGACGAGACGGGGACGGGTGGGCCTTTTGCGTCGAGGAAAAGGGTGACGTGATCAAGAGAAAGAAAGAAAGAAAGAGGAAAAGAGGAATGCCACCATTCAAAAGGCGGTATGAGTGAATAAGGATGGATGAATGGATGGATGAAAAGAACAGAAAGCCAAAAGCAAAGCTGTACTGGCAGCTGCAAGCACGAGCTTCAGGCCGTTGCTCAATTAGACCAACTGGCTGTGTTCATGCGCCGAGGTGGAGGGAAAGCTTGTGGGAGAAGCCGAAACATTGATTAGATACACTACCTAGGCCTAGGTGCTACGGCAGACACCGGTGCAGTGGTCACAGGGTACGGACATGGCGCTGGTGCCGGCGGCGGGCCGGGGCTTGGGGCCTCTATGGTGGCTGTAGTACCGATAGTGATGGTGGTCACCGGCAAATCGAAACTTGCTGAAGGACCTCGGCTTAATGTGATTCGGCAAGCGCGGCGGGTGGGTTTGGTGGGGAGTTACCCCCCCCCCGGATTATGCCTGTTATCAGATCAAATTTTGAAGGCGCACAACTGGTGACTAATTGCCTGGATACACGCATATCTACATGCGTACATAACGTCTACATACATAAATACATGCATACATACATACTGTGCGTAGCTGCGCACATTCACCTAAAGATTGGTTCGGTGAGACTAGTATGCTCTAAGTAACACTGAGATGGGGTGTAAATGACTGGCAGTACATCACCAATTATTTGTCTTGTTGGTTTGCCCAGCCGCACCCAATGAGCGAATATACATGCCTGGTGCAAGTGTACGGTTGTTGATAAACGGGGATTGGACCGTTGGACCGTCGCTACGCGCACAACTGACATTGTGACTGTGTACTCTTTTGTACCACTGCTTCGCGTTTACTCTCAAGTTGACGCCCCCGAGAGGAAACCAATGCACAATTTGTCTTAGGCTGCCTGGGTAGATACCTTGGGCGGATTGCAGCAACTTCATAGTACTTACCCAAGGTATCTAATACGCTAACTACCTAGGCATCGTGCTTGTAAAACGGAAGAATCGGTGAGTACTAGATCCACCAGCTGGTGGGCATCCGTAGGCAACGACGCATCCGCCCCCGGCTAAACACCGGGCCAACGCTCAACGTGATTTCGTGGCAGTCTCGCGTACCAACAATTAACCTGCAACCAAGACAAGTGCGGCGGAGACGCGTTGCAGCCTAAACCAAACTTCAATGTTCCCCATCGCACGTCCCCCTTGTTTCCTCTGATGTCGCTAACGCATTGCAATATAAAGCCCTTAGACTTCCGCCGCCTAAGACGTAGCTCGGCTTCTTCAGGGATTTATTTCCACTACGCTTCTTCCGACTACATTCCTCCTCTCCCTTTTTATTAGGTCAACCTATCGAGACATTGCCGGCCCAACTCAACATGTCCAACACACTCACCGTTCCACAAATGCTAGCCTTTCGCAAATGGCTTCACTCGCTAGGCGACGTGACGCCTACTATCCCTCGTGCTGCCGAGTGGGTGAAGGGACAGTTAGGAAAAGATGTACCCGAGGCAGTGATTCGGTCGATCCTCAACCGGACCAGTCTGCAGAAGTCACACCAGGCCAAAATACGATCCATTGTGGACGACAGCCAAGGTCTGATTAGCGACTTCTATCCCTACGTGAGCTGATCAAAGTCCACCAAAAACTTGGCGTTGATCCCTTACTGATTGTCAAAAAGATGACGGCGACATTGGGGCTCTCGTCCGTCCAGGGTTTGGTAGAGACGTGAGAGCTACGTCCGCGTACAGGTTCCCGAATGCCACGCAAGACTGGAACGCCTCGACACTGACATGGTTGGAGCTGGCCATGCTCTGGTTCATTGAGAAGATCACCAACAAACCCGACTGGCATGTCAAGGTTTTCAACAATGACATTGTTTCCAAGTGGAAGACTGAAGTCATGACCGTCGACTGGAAAGCCGTCCACCTCGAGCATGCTCATTTCAATAACGCCGTGTTCGCTTGGGTCCGTTTCTTCACATTCGCTCGCCTCCTGTTACTTCCCCAAATGCCCTGCTGACGCATATTACAGTGTCTTGCCGAGCTCCGCGAAAAGGCTGCGCTCTACGAAGCTACTGGGCTGGTTCCCGTTTTCGATGCCACGACTGCCGTCATCAAGGCCGACAACGCCATCTCCCTGGAAGTCAAAGAGGAACTGAGAAAGGGAGTGTCAGTCCTCGAGGACGTTCAAGAACATGCAAAGGACTGGCACCCAGGAAGCGATGGCAAAGTCCTGGATCTGGTTCACCCATCTCTTTATCCCCTTGTCTACGGTATCTCTCGCATCGTTCCTGACAAGTCACAAACGCATCTCTCTTCAAGACTCTGTAAAGGCATGCGGTACAGGACAAAACATTCCAGTGCCTGAAAAGAAGCCTGACGAGAGTCGTTTTGCACAGGGCCTATGGTCTTATAAATTTCATTGGCTCCCGTGCGAGGTTGATATCCACGATGACAATCCCGCCATTACTAGCTATATCAACAACCTCCATCCCCAGCACCATGCCGGGCTCTACGTTACGATCGAGAAGGTCATCAAAAAAGCCCTTCCCCTGTGGAATGTCATATATAGGTGGCACATAGACTTTGAGGTCCTCAACGTTCCTTGTACAGAAGCCCGCAGAGAATGTAAAGCCGGGCGCACCAATTACTGCACTCGAGAAAACCGACCATTGGAGCCGGGCGAAGACGAGCGCAATGAGGATGTATATGACCGCGAATCCTCGCAACTTAACAAAGCCTGGTTCGACAGGACCCACCCCGTCAAGAGGCCTAGCGTCCCCAATTACAGCCCCATGCTCCTCCAGCCCAAGGACGTCAACCTTGAGAGAGGCTTCCTCGATGATGCCGACCGCATCCAGGTGATCGTCAAGCTCGCAAATAATCAGCTCACGCCCGAAAAGCCCACCTATGACGGAGGATCCTGGCACATTGAGAGCCAAATCAACGAGCACATTTGTGCCACAGCACTGTACTACTACGATAACGACAACGTTACTGAGAGCCGCCTTGCATTTTGCACCAATGCTAACAAGGAGGATCTTATGGAAGTGTTGTCGTACGGGCAGGATGACATCTCCTCTATCGAGCGCACCTTTAAGATCAGCGGTAGAGGGAATATTACTCAGGAGCTTGGCAGTGTGCTCACGCGTGAGGACCGATTGTTGGCATTTCCGAATGTTTACGAGCACTGCGTGGCGCCGTTCGAGCTAATGGACAAGACGAAAGCGGGACATCGCAAGATCTTGGCGCTGTTCTTGGTGGACCCAGCCGTTCCGATCATCAGTACGGCGAATGTGCCGCCGCAGCAACGGGATTGGTGGAAGGAGGGCTGCATGCCTGATGGCCACTTCGGGCCATTACCCGCGGAGGTTGCCGACATGACTTTTGATGACCTGGACTTCCTGATCAGCCTCGAACGAGCCAAGAAGATTAGAGAGGAACTGATGGCGGAGAGAACGGCGAAATCGCCTTGGGACAGTTCTGACCGCCGGATGGATACTTGGTCTTTCTGTGAGCATTGATGGTGTCAACCGCGTTTCCGAAAACCGGGATTATTCCTGGACCAGGTAGTCTCTGACGAGCGTTAGGGGACATCAGTGACCAGACTCGACAAGGGTTCCGGGTTTCCGTGTAGGTTTGATGAGTCGTTACGACAGCGCGAAATAGAATCGTCTATTCCAACATTCAACTACGTGCTTCCAGAATTATACCCAGCAGCTATCTAGCAAGCGAAACAAGTAAATATTATCTCAAACGAGTCTCGGACCGTATGGATGTCCAAACAACGAAAATCTGCGACTACCAACCCGGTTCCTCGAAGACCACCTAATTAGTCGTCCTAGAGATAGTATGAATTGCCAATGCTGCCGTGTTTCTGAGCTCTGAGCTCGGTCCACGCTTTTCGAGAAACATGGCTCGACTAGCAAGAATCTCTATGGATGTACACATTCCAGTTGTCGGTGGGATGAAATGCCTGGCCGGAGTACCATCGTCTCCAACGGGTGGTGCAGTGATACCCGATAGCCTCCACCATCTCGGCGATCTGGGCAAAACTATCGATGGTGATGTGATGTGTATTCTGCGCCAGAACACGGTTAGCCTCCCTCTCCCTTTCCTGACGTCATTTCGCCTTTTGCTCGTAGGTTTCCCTTCTTGCGTGTTTGATTCCACTCACGTCGTTGCAAAACCAGATGGCAGAACTGTAGCCGCAGCTAACCCGACCACAATTGCCCGGACCCGGGTCGCCCCTGGGCCGGCCCTTGACTGTTTTGAGGTAGTGAATGCCAACTTTGGCCTCGCTTTCATGCACGTAATCCCAGCCGGGCTTCAGGCAAAGGACCTTGTCCGCCGGAAACAACTCGGCCTTCTGGCGTTTCTCGACACCCAACCCTCCATCGCCCAAGGCCGGGGCGAAGGGCGAGTAGTCCGGGTTGATCTGCGCGAGCTCGGCGACGACTTGCTCGACGGTCCCGTTCAGGGTGATCTTCTGCCCGGGAAAGGGCTCGAATTCCCATTTGGGAGTGAACTCGTGAACATCGGTATGCAGGTCAGCCAGGGCAGTGACCTGCAGAGTCGAGGCGACGTCAGCGATGAGGCGGCGTAATTTCGTTGAAGGAGACTGCTTACCAGAATGGCCGGAAGAGCGGACAGGAGAGCAACAAGGTAGTTGGCGCGCATTTTATCCAACGATTCAACGAACACGTCTTCTCAGGAAGTGTATGATAGACTAGTGAGGGTCAGTATACGACGGACAAGAGACAAGGTTTTATATAGAGATCTCTGCAAATCATACACGGAAATGCGGCAGATCTTCTTATCACAAAACCACGACGCTGCTGATATTTGCTGTAAGTGCTTCATCTTGTTGCGTGTGCGGTGGTCGCTTCCAGGCACCTACACCCACTGTTACGAATTGTTTTTAGACTTAAGTAACACAATAATCTTATAGGCTTGAAATAACAAAGCAATGGAGTAAATTTTGATTACTTTTGACGATGAATCAGCAAAGCACACTCCATTTTACCGCTTATCCCCTGTTGGTTGCCCAACCACAGATATCAGAGTGGTGAGAGCTTACACGCGAGGTTGGACATCAACTGAGCAGTCTATTTGTCGTGAAAACGTTAGGATAAGTTGATGGAGGCCTTGAAATCTCGCTTTTCTGAAGTACTCATCCCAGACCCTACTTCTAGAGATGGGTTACACTCTTGTATTCTGGACCCAAAACAGAGCAGCTTTAGAGAGCAGTCGAAACACCTATTGTTGATAGTGAGGGATCACCTTGTAAGACCAAATTAAGAGACGGCCGCATGAATTTCGATGATTGGAACGGGAAACAAAACCCACACGTCTATAATTTACGCACACGAATACTCAGCTAGATCGGACATTGGCACTAGAATGGTGCAACTCAGGCCGATTTTGTTATCCTGCTTGCCAGATGATGCGCCAAATCTATGTGAGGAATCCTTGAAAGGTTTGTTTAACGCTAATTTCCCTACCAAAACTTCAGACAAACACGCAGTCAGATCATCAAAGCAATACGGGGAGGAGAAGCCGTCCAGACACACTGAATCCGGTGTGACCGCAGCGCGACATGACAAAACAGTTGGCCCAAACAAACCTATGCCGCTGGGCTTCAGCGCGAATACGACGTCCAAGAAACTCCGTGCTAGGTGATGCGTAAAGTGCTGCTCTTCCCTTCCTCGGTATAAACCAAAAGTCGGCCGGAGACAGAGTCAATCCCGGCCTCTCAAGCACTCCCTCCCCAATCCACCCCTGAACGAACCATGCGCCTCATAGCCTGTACGCGATTTCGCCTCCTAAACTCTCGGCCTCCAGGAGGAGAACCGGGACCGATCAAATCGCCGGTGTTGCCGGAAGCCAAGGCTTACCGAAACCATCATCCGCAACGTGCGAGGGCAATAAGGCCATATACCGATCCTACGTGATACACGGTATCCTCCCACGCAGTATTGCCTGGACGACATAGAGGTCGGGAGGAAGGAATACAAAATCCTGAGGGAGCTCGCTTGGGTCGTTGACGAACACGCCGATTCTGACTAAGATAATGCCGCGACATTGCGGGAAATTGCCGTAAAAGCTGAAAGGCTCATTTAAGTCGCGAAGCTGTACGACGTCGCCATCCCCCGAATACAGTTCGCCGTCCAGGCTGCCATGCTGCCTGGCCCAAGCAGTCCTGAAATCGAGAAAGACCAGATCAAAACAGTGAGATCCAATCGTAGACCAGTTGATATGTTTGCAAGAGAAGTATCTATGACGAGGAAAATGGACGTAAGGAACTCAATACTAAAAGAAAAGTGCGGGCTCGCAACCAGCCAAGTGAGTAAGTCCCAGTATAGATTATGTAACTAAAGATGAAGCCAATCACTCAAAACTTGATGTGGACATCGTCTGCTCTAATCAAGTCCCACTGCGGCGTCTTTCAAGGCGTCCACATAACCAAATCAAGTACACACAACTGCGAGAGGCTATCCAAAAGCACTCCATGGCCCATTTTATCAATACTCATCGAAAATGGTAGCAACGACAGCGCCAGCGAGCGTAATCTGACCAACTTGGCCGCCCTCAGCTCCAGCGATAATCTTGCCGGACGCAAGGTCACGCTTCCAGACGACAACAGTGCTGATGTTGTGGTGGCCAACAGCAATTAGATCACCGGCTTTGTTATAGAATGCTGACGAGGAGACCAGCCGCCGGAAGGGGCCAACTGAGCAAGCGCAAGGGTCCCGTCTTCCTTGATTGCAAAGGTGGACATAGTGTTAGAAGCACTGGAGCCAAGGACCGGCGAGTCGCCGCCGGAGAGGGTGACGAAATTTTGGTCAGGCTACGCCAAGAGCAAACATCGAGTTGGCGAGAGGTTTGCACCCAAACTGAACCCCAATCTGGAAGTAGAATGCGTCTGGGCTTCTTATATATTTACTAGATGTCTGGCTGCTCTATGGCACAGTCACCCGGCTGCTACAAAAGGAGATGTGACAGAAACTTGCGGATACTGTGATGGTAATCTCGCTGGTTGGTACCCCGGTCCCAGGGTAGTCAGGGTTGACAGCCGGAATGGAGAATTTCTTAGTGAAAGCAAGGCTGGACCTATTGTACTTCATCCTTTACAGGTAGATATTCTGTCCAGCTCGGCGTTGACGAAGAAGAAGACGTCGCCGTTGGTTGCAGTTTTGGAGACGCCGTGGCGGGGGCCGGTGCTGGGATTCGTCACCAACCCCTTGACCTCCTTTATCGGAGTAATGCTGGTTGGATCCTTGGTATAGACGCGGACCCGGTCACCGCCAAGATCAGCAAGCAGAACGTATTGATTTTTGGGTAGATGATAATATGATGTAGGTAGCTTGTGTCGTTGAGGGAGGGAACCAGGCCAGGTGCCTCGAGGGTCGGGGCGAACTCCTAAAGGGGTCCATTGCCCGTGAGGGCGCCATCATCGCTGAGAACAAAGACGCCGGCCGCTGCTTCGGTTGCTCCAAGAAATGTAAATTTGGTTGGTCACCTTTGGGAGGTAAACCTTCCCAGGATCATTGCGGAATGCAGTAGGTACTAGACGTGTCGATTAACCAGCTTTAAAGGAAGGAGGACAAACGGTGTTCACATCCTCACATAATGGGTATTAACTTGCTATGAAGCAGAGACGTACCCGCAGGGTCCAGGCTCTGTCGTGACAAGATTACCAGCGACACTGCTAAAAGGCGCCGAGACTCGAGTGATACAGGCCAAAACACCTCCACCCCCAGTAGAGAAGGAGTTCAGGGAGCCGCTAGGTAACGAGTCGGAGCCCCTGTCCAAGCAGTAGAGAACCCTATTGGCAGCGTCCAGGGTGAGTCAGGATGGATTGAACTCGAACCCGGCCGTCTTTGAGGCGACGGATAAGCTGTGATTAGTCCCGGATCCGGAGTACAGCAAGTGGCACAAAACGGGCTCCAGTTCGAATTCAGCAAATATCAATCGAGGCGCGAGTTGAAGTGGAATAGGTAAAAGTTGTTACTGGATGTAGATCAGGCTGGTCAGTGCTACCAAAACGTGTGTCATCAATGGTTTGTCTGTAAGTGACGTTGTGTTTGTTGACTGAAAATGAGCCAGGTAGATGTTGCACATCTAGAAGAATGTTGAGTAGAACCAATTTTTAATCTGACAAGGTACGAGCAATCTCTCTATCTTGGCAGCTCACTCGGATTTAGATCCTGTTTATATACTGTGGCCAGCTCAACTCTCTGTAAGAACCGGAGATGGGTTAGGACTACCTAGGTATCACACGAAGGACGGCACTTGTAGGCTGTGCTGCCTCGTCTGCTAGCTCGAAACGACGCCTCATCAGCCAAGAATCTGTCGTTCATACTACGCAAGACCCTGCACGCAAACTCCGCAAAATGAACTGAGTGGGGGCCAACGACTTTGCCAACCGTACTATGTGACTTTTCTATGTTGTATATCACATTACCTAGCGCCTTTTGTGCACTGATTATCACAAACCTGAAAGAACGGGCATCTAAATGCCAGTTGGCTCACAAGGCGATTCTCTCGCAAAGACAGTCTTGGCAGATTAAGGAGGTCAGAGACTTGCCCTTTCAGCGCCGAGGGTTAGTCAAGGATACTTTGATTGCCACAAACCAACAGATATAAACTACTCTCTCCGATTAGATGTAATGAGGCTGTGAAGGAACCGCCAAAAGAGACCGTCTCCACAGACGATATACATCATATCCACATGCCCAGCAAGCCTCAACAGAGACTGGAAACGACTTCGATGCATAGGCAGGCAAACAAGTCAATTTAGGAAGCCCCATACATTCCTTGACTTGTATAGAATACACCGAAACAGATGTTTAGTAGAAATAGCCTCTCCCAAGCTCCGTAGCCCAGCTCCTCCATCATTCTTTTCACTATTACGGTCGTATTCTATGAAGCCATGGACTCAAAACACTTTCTTAGACGTTTCTTCGTCGCTTCGCTTCTTTGTCTTACTTCTGCTCACATCCTCGATCAGTCAAACAGCAAAGCATCTGAGTTACAGACATGCTTGACCACTGCTGGGGTTCGAAATGCTATCAGCACTGACGACACCTGGGCCAACGACACCGCTGGTTTCCAGAAACGCATCAAAGTCGACCCTGCTGCTATATCATTCCCAGAGAACAATGATCAGATCGCGCTCTCTCTAGACTGCGCACGGAATGCATCCACTTCGGCTTCGGTTCTCGGTGCCGCGCACTCTTTCCAGGCCTACGGTTTCGGAAACCCGGGCAGTCTTGTGATCAGCATGGCTGCCTTCAACTCTGTCTCTTGACGCGGCTACCAACCGCCTCACATACGGCGGAGGCTTCCACGTCGGACCCGTCCTCAAATACCTCTGGGATAAACACGGTCGTCATTTTCCCCACGTCCGTGGTGCCAATGTCGGTCTGGCTGGCTCCAGCATTGGTGGTGGTTTCGGCTCCACTTCCCGCCACCTCGGTATTCCCATGGACAACCTCAAGTCTGTTGAATACATGCTGTACAACGTTACCATCGTCAACGCGCCTAAGGGCTCTGACATCTTCTGGGCCGCCCAAGGTGCTGGCGCCTCCTTTGGTGTCCTGCTCTCCGTCATCACCAATACCTACAAGCCCGTTTTCGACACCGCTGTGAACTTCACTATCAACGCCGGTGACCTGACCTCCACCAAGGCTGTGAAATCCCTCATTGCCATCCAGAGGTACTCGCTTTCCAAGGATTGTACCGATGAGTTGGCCCTCCGCTGGTCTCTCAGCGGCCCCCCCTACATGGCAAACGGCTTTTTCTACGGAGATGCTGCCGGTTTCGACACTGTTATTGCACCTCTTCTCAGATCCCTCAACGATATCGCTGGCAGTGTCACAGTACAGAAGACTGAGCTGCCCTTCTGGGACATGGAGGTTGCCGTTGCCGGCGCAGGCATGAATCAGCCCAACGAAAGCGCCCTCAGCGGACGAAGTTTCTACACTCAGTCTTTGACTACCACCACAGATCGCCCCCTCACAGTTGAGCAGGCCAAGGTTCTCTATGAGAGTACTAGCTTTTCTTTCAACCGTACCGACATGCGCAAGTCCGGCTTCATTGATCTCTGGGGCGATGTCTCTCGCGATATCTCAGACACCGACACTAGCTTTGCCCACGGCAAAAACCTCTGGCTCATTCGCTGGGATTTCAACTCCGTTGATGTCAACAGCTATCCTGCTGATGGCCCCGCTTACATGAAGAGTCTCATTAAGCCCTTTGAGGAGGCTCTGGTTGCCAGCGGTGCTCCTCTCCGTGGATTTGTCAACTACGCCGACACCGAACTCTGAGTCCTCTCCCAGGCCGAGTGGTCCTCCCGTCTTTATGGCGCAAACTTTGACCGTCTTAAGCAGCTCAAGGCTGTCTATGACCCCGAGGGTTTGTTTGTCAACCACAAGCAAGCCATTCCAATGCCTTGAGAGCATGCCTTTATTTTCAGTTCACACGAGATGTCGACATAGAAATAGATGAGTCAAAACGTTGTATAATGTAGAACTCTGGGATGTAAAGGTTCGGGTAATCATAACAGACAGACCCCAGCTCTCGTGCTTCCTCGAACTTCATAAATGAACTTTCTTACGCCTGGAGTTCGAATTGACATGCAATTCTGATTGGTGATGTCGCTTCTGCGAGTGTTTTAACTAATGACTTCGGCTTCAAAAATATGACTGTTGTCCAAAATGTCCCTTTCAACGGGCGTACTACACATCTTGATCACACATGTATCATGTCTGATGCTTCACCAACTTCGGCCCCTCAATCCACGTGACGCGGGGTAATCAGAGCCAAGACATCAAACGGGGGTCTTAGGCTAACATTGTCACGAATCATCTATTTCCGGCTAAATCTAATCTGTGGAGGCGTGGGGTTGAACCACCCAACCCACTCTTTCCCGAGAGAGCAAAGAGCCTTGATAAATAGTGGTATTGCTCCAGGCATAGTTGTTCGAGTGCCAGTGAATCTTTTCTTTTTTATCAGTAGCAATCCATCGTGTATCATGCCTCAAGTCAGAAACCCTATTCTCCCCGGGTTCAACCCGGACCCCTCCATTTTGAGGGTCGGAGATGACTACTACATCGCAACATCTACGTTCGAATGGTTCCCTGGTGTCCAGATCCATCACTCTAAGGATCTTGCGAATTGGGAACTCGTCACCCGGCCCCTGAACCGGAAAAGCCAGCTGGACATGCGTGGTAACCCAGACAGCTGCGGCATCTGGGCTCCCTGTCTCACTCACGATGGAGAGAAGTTCTGGCTTGTTTACACGGACGTCAAACGTAAGGATGGCTCCTTCAAAGACAGCCACAATTACATCGTCACTGCGTCCTCCATCGAAGGACCTTGGTCTGATCCCTTTTATATCAACTCCTCCGGCTTCGACCCCTCGCTCTTTCACGACGATGACGGCAAAAAGTGGTTCGTCAACATGATGTGGGACCATCGTCGCCGGTTCAGCGCCTTCACGGGAATCGTTCTGCAGGAGTTTGACCCCAAAGCAGGTAAACTAGTCGGTCCTAAGAAGAACATCTTCAGAGGCACCGATCTGTCTCTTGTCGAAGGCCCCCATCTCTACAAAAGGAACGGATGGTATTATCTCCTCACCGCTGAGGGTGGTACCGCCTACGAGCACGCCTGCACTCTAGCCCGCTCTCGCGACATTCAAGGGCCGTATGAGCTTCACCCGCAAAAGTACGTCATCACGTCGAAGGATGCACCTTTTGCAGCTCTTCAACGTGCGGGACATGGTGACATCGTGGACACCCCCGAAGGCAAGACATACATGGTTCACCTAACAGGTCGTCCCATAACACAGAACAGACGATGTGTGCTGGGTCGTGAAACGGCGATCCAAGAAGCGTACTGGGGCGAAGACGATTGGCTGTATGTCAAAAACGGCCCCGTACCGTCGTTGTTTGTTGAGGTGCTGGGTACGAGAGATGACACTGCATACTGGGCGGAGCAGCGGTACACATTCGAGAATGGATTGCATAAGGATTTCCAGTGGTTGCGCACGCCGGAACCCGAGCGTATCTTCTCGACTGAGGGAGGAAAGCTCACTCTTATTGGAAGAGAGTCTATCGGGTCGTGGTTCGAGCAGGCTCTGGTCGCTCGTCGTCAGACCCATTTCTCTTATGACGCAGAGACCATTGTCGACATTTCGCCTACCGACGAGAGAGAGTTTGCGGGCCTGACAGCCTACTACTGCCGTTATAACTTCTTCTACATCACGGTCAGTGCCCACGAGGACGGCAAAAGGGAACTGTTGATCCAAAGATCTGAGTCATCGTGGCCCGATGGCAATCTCTCGACTCCTTTCCCAGACCCGGTATCGCTGCCTGATTCGGGTAAGGTCAGACTGGCATTGACGATCCGGGGACCAAAGCTCCAGTTCTACTACGCCCTCGAGGGCGAAGAGCTGAAGGCGGTAGGGCCCGTGTACGATGCATCGATCATCTCCGATGAATGCGGTGGTCACCAGGCACACGGTAGCTTCACTGGTGCTTTTGTCGGTGTTGCTGCTTCAGATCTGAATGGCACGGCGAGAAAGGCTTCTTTTGACTACTTTATCTATCGACCTGTTCATGATGTAACAGACCGCTATGAGATCTGAAAGTGACGGGAAATGGAGCTTTGGAATTTTACAGTGTAGGAAACATCTTACCGGAAAGTTTTGAATAATTCGTGGTCAGTTTAGCACATCCAAAAGGGTCACCACTCAGTTTAGTTAAATATTTTCCACAAGGTGAACTGCACCATTCATATAATATTTGAAAACCAAGCGTCGCTTGGTGAATATGTTCACTCTACATATTGTCGATTCAATGGAGAAGGACGCTAAGTTGGAACATTGTGCTGTTGTACATTGGTGCACTGTCTTCTCATCGTTTCGTCTAAACACTAGGACGCATACAGGTGTCATTACATCATCCAGCGACTGCTTCCGGATTTCCTTTAGAAGACCATACACAAGCGACCCTTGAGTTGCTTAGACAAGTAGTGCTCAGCCATTTCGTTGGCCTGGTCAACACTGTAGGTCTTCTCAATGTATGTTCTGCATCCGTTCTCGGCGTGCAGCTCAAGCATTTCCCGGCTGCGCTCAGGAGTGCAGATCAACGCGCCACGGATAGTCTGCTCCTTGAAGTTCAAGGCAAAAGGATCCACTTCGAAAGGTCCGTCGGCAGGGAGCCCAACGTCGACGAGAACGCCGCCCTTGCGCAGGAACTGCTGGGCGAACTTGACGAGGGGCCGAGCCTCGGTGTTGATGACGACGCGGTCGACGCCCGGGTTGCTGTCATAGAAAGAAGACTGGAGTTCCTTCACTGTCTTCTCCTGCGCCTCATCGGTATCAACGAGAATAGTGCGGTCGGGAGTGAGGTGCGATGGAACGTCGTTGGCCAGATCGAGAGCCTCTTGACGGTTGTCGATTGCGATGACCTTACAGCCCATCGACTTGGCGTACTGGATGCCCAGGTGACCCAGACCTCCAACACCGATCATTGCGAGCCACTGGTCCTTCTTGGGCTCTGCCGCGCAGAGAGCTCCATAGACCGTGGCGCCCGCGCAGAACAATGGCGCAGCCTCGGTCCAAGGAATTGAATCGGGGATCTTGGCCACTACTCTGGCGTCGGCTTTCATGTATTGGGCGAAGCCACCGTCAAGAGTTAGACCGAGCATGCCAGTGAGGTTGTCACAGACCTGCTTGCCCTGATTACAAGAGTTGCACTTGCCGCAGCAGCCATATGTGTTGATGGAGCCGACGTGGTCGCCGACTTGGAGCCCCTGCTTGCCGGCTTCAGAGCCCAGCTTCACGATGGTACCAGCAGGTTCGTGAGAGCCGATAAGGCCAGGCTTGGCACCAGCGGATTCGTAAACTCCCTCTTGTACTTGAAGATCGGTGTGGCAGTAGCCCGCGGCAGCAATTTTGACGAGGACGTCGTTAGGTCCGAGTTCGGTTGGGACTTTGACGTCCTTGACTTCGTAACCCTTATTAAAGTCCTTGACGGTTGCGGCACGCATCTGCTGGGGGATTTGGTCTGCCATGCTGGGAATAGAACTTATAGGTTGTTTGGATATAATTGGTATACTTCAAAAATAGATGTAATTGCGCTTCGAAGTTCAAGTCCAAATATAGTAATGTGGATCGATGTAGGTTGCGTGTTTGTTCAGAGACTGCTTCAACCTTGATGTCCAGCCTTCAACTTATACGTCTAAGGCGCAACCCAATTGTGTCCAGTTTTCCATTCATTTTGCAACGTCATAGTTTATGGTGCTTAGTGTACGGTGCTGTATGCAATACTGGCGTCACGAAGCCTGACGTTTCTTACGTCAATGTCGTGGATTGATGGGGTTTGCCGCTTCGCTCTGTCATAAATGTGGACCGACCAGAAGGAGTGGATGAATTGTGGTACGGAGGCAATTTGGTATTCTGCACGTAGTGCAGCACGAGCTGAACGTTGCAGTTGCGGTTCTGTCGAGTCAATCTTTCAACGACCGCCAAAGCGCATGTATTAGATTTCACTTGCTAAATCACACTGGTGTCAAGAGGTTGGGATATCCATATTGTCAACCAATGATGCAATTTTGAACTCACCGTGTTCCAGACGATCCCAAGCACCGATCACCCCATGCATAGTCCCTTTTTCACTGTTGATAAATCAGTGGGTAGCACGCCACTAGGTTCCACTATGCTGACCGGAAACCCGACCTATGTCTGCGATCGAGATCTTCACGGTGGTCCGAGCCGGCCGAATGATGTCGGGTTTTCCGACCTGCAATTTATGCTCCAGAATTTTGCATGCAAGTCACCCATTTGAGAGCTGTCATCAGCAACTCAGTTGGATGGCCGACAAGGTCTTCACTCAGTTACCAAGAGCGCCTCTCTCTCTGAATGATACCTCACTGTAGTGCCAGGAGCTACTGGTTTCCAATTCTGGGTCTAAAGTTTAGGTTATTCCATGGCAGAATAGACCTGAAGTGGATGTCATCAATCTGTAGCTAGATTGTCTGGGCCCCTTTGTCTTCATCAGACCAGCAGCGACGTTGTTGCGTAAACCAATGGTTAAGGATAGTGCTAAGCCATAAATCGATATCATTCTAGTTAGTGTATATTCATGAGATCGAGTTGGCATGTGGGGCAATTATAAAGATCTTTGGCCTACCGAGTGACTTTTGATTTAAGCTTTATCTTCAATTACTTAGCTCAATCTAGCTCAACCCACAAACCTCGTGTCTGTCATTGTGACAACTGCTACGATCAAAACTTGTGTTCTCTGGATTTTGTTAATGGTGAGTATATAAGACGGGGGCGCTCTCTTTGTCAATGAGATATGAAGGTCTTTGAGTTTGGACCAGCAAAGATGGCTGGGTTTGGCGGTCGCTGCGGCAGTTACACGGATATGTGTTCTCTGACTACACAGGCCATATGCAAGAATAGGACGATCATGCAAGTTTACTAGCTCACATCGGTGTACTTCCTTGCTTGAGATGGTATCATCCCCACGTCGTTTGGTGGAAACCTGTGTGCTAATCAGAGAAAGTTGCTCTAGTAGCTACACGTCTTCTTGGATATATTGAAGGAGTAACAAACATAGGTAGATCCCAGAACTTCGAGCCGGCGTTATGTTTTCTACTCCACATTTGGTCCGGTAGTCGCATCAAACTACGCTGTTGCGTGAACTGACACCACTGTCTTGTTGCCTTGACGGTTCAGCGCTAGACATTAGGGCCACCACTAGCTTTCTTGAAGTCTCCTCTTACAAAGCCTTTAGGCCTAGCTTAACGATTGTGGGGTCAATCCTGTTTCCCCTCCTCTCAAGATTTCTTACTATCCTTCTTGGTAGTAATAGGAGCTGAGTTTCCGCCAGTCGAGAGGCCAGCACTAGGGAAGACCTCTTCGGCGAGGGAAACCAAGCACAGCAAGGGCGCTATCACAAAGCGCCGGAGGCTTAGCTGAAAATCTAGTGCGTTAGCAGAGGCCCTGATTCTCCTGAAAAAGGCCTCTGAAATCTATTTCGAAGAGATATCATCCGGTTTATAGGCTGAAAGTGCTGATGAGGATGAAAGTAGTAGTTTAGAGCAGATCTTTGTAGAGATTTCTCGGTTGTGTGCGCCGGTTAGGTGTACAAGGCGCCCTCAGCAACAATCGTTAACAAAAGGCCCGGAGTACCTATGGGCTGCGGAATCAATAGAAGAGGGAGTTGGACTTCCTCACGGCCTGTAGTAGGTAGTTTCAACATATTCCCTGGCCTGATGAGGGAGGACACCTTGTTTACCGTTTACTTCCACCGAATCCAACGATCTGTACGGCGACCCGCTAAGAATTATATCCCCCAACTTTAAATGGAACTCTGGGTCTTCTTCTTCTTCTTCTTCTTCTTCTTCTTACTTTTTTCTCTTTCTTTTGCACAATTAGTGTCTTTCTACGAAGTCAAGCTTAGACGACTGTGGCGCCAGGCGAAATCTGGACTGTGCGGAAGACCTCTTGCCGTTATTAGTGGGATGTCTCATATCTGTGCTGATAAGTGTGCATCCCGCTGGACCACCTCTGGCCTATGGCGATAAAACAACAGGTGGTTCACAGGTTTAATTTGGCATCTAATAAGATTTGTTTCTTCTGCGAGCGGTGGTTGAGCTGAATAGCCGCTCAACGATTGGCTCGATGTCTAACTAGAGGAGAAAAGCAGAGAACAGGAATGAAAGGACCAGTCTGTAAGGAGTCAGGACTCTGGTGGCTATTACCATTTCCGGTGCTACTGAAAACTAAGATCAAGGTCGCCATCTGTTGTTTACTTTTGCAGCCACGTAAGAACGAACTTAGCCACCACCACCGAGCAGAGCAGGCCTATGTCTCATTTTACATACTCAGCGCCTCTATCAGTCGTGTGGCACTAACGCTGTCGTTCAATGATTTACGGTACTAACTAAAACAAAACTTAAACTATCCTGCCAGGACTCTTCCATGTATCACACACTCATACCTAATCGGGTGATTCTTGCACAAACTAAAATTCCGTTTGCGTACGAAATTGTTAATCCCCATCAGCTCGAAGGATTCACTTCATGACCAATTAGGCAAAACGAATAGCCAAATTAGATGGTTGCATTCTCAACAAGAGCTATGCTGCGTCCATGTGATGACCGAAACGATTCCGCCTTAGTGCACTGGCTTCGTTGTCCCTATGCCTGTTCACGTCTTCCCTTCATTTTCTGAGCGAGCCCTCGCCCAGCTTTGATTAAACTATACTGGCGTTAGCGTGTGAAAGACGGTCTCGTCATTTTACAACAGTTTTCCGGGCCGTAGCACGTATGGGTTACCGATCCTTAACTTATACCCAGTTCAGCCTGCACCTTGAAGAATCTGTCTCTTTAACTTGCCCCCCCCCTGGCGCATGAACAAGTCGTTTCTGCCACGCACGTAGAATATCTGCACTCGGGTTTTGTTTCTTACGAGACGCATTTCGTACAACCTTGTGGGTCCAATCTCAATAACCCCAATCTTGCTCTTCGGTTTCCCCAGCAATCTTGGCGTCTTCTGTTTGTGTTTGGGTCACGAAATTTCTTTGCTTCATTCGCTCGAAGCCTTACTCAGTGGCTCCCCCACTCACATCGATAAAGAGTGTTTGCTGCGGGGAACTTTGCAACGAAGCTGAGGAAGTCGACACTTATTGTAGTCAGAAGTGGTTCACGGAAGTGACTATATCGATCAGCGAGAAAAGCAGGATTCTCGGTACGTGTAGGAAGTTATTGAAAGTATATCTTAGATCTCACTGATGGATCCCACGATTGACATCTGGCGTTTGGTTGCATGCACCACAAAACTGGAGGTGCTAACAACAAATTGGCAGTCTTTTCATTGTGCTGAAAGTGTTATTATTTTATCAAGACCTTTTATCGATGTCTTTATCTGGAGACAAGGTAACGGTTATCACCTACTATATCTCAATTGCAACGAGAGCAATACCAAAGTTCAGTTTAGTGGACAGGTCTACCCCCGGCGGTTACCACTGCCATGGCAATATCAAAGCATCTTCCAGAAGACCATCAATTACAAGGTGGAAAGCCCTCAGATGAGATACCTCGATTACGGTTCGATGACTTCTCTTACGAATCACGGATATTCGGGCCTCAGGTAGCCTCCCGGCCGCTGTCACCGCGCCATCGCACATCGTGGGCATTTCTATTGAGACGCGGGTCGGGCTTTCAATTAGATATATCTGAATCTACCAGCTCCAATACCACCAGCAGGACAACGATCTCGACCAGCGGGGGTGTTTCTGAGCCCCCGCCATTTGGAATAATGAAAACGATGGAGGTCCAGATTTCCTACGAAGCAAGAACATGGAAGAGCCACGAAAGAATGGCTGACAGCAGAACACTACGACCGTCGACGATTGCAGATATCAGAAGCATCACGAGCGGAGATGTATCCCTGTTTTCCGAAGAAATTTCATCAACGTCTCAGAGTATCAAAATTGAAAACGGGCATACAACTTCATGCTATAGACACTCATCGCCACTTGGGTCAACTTGGGAGTGGCTTGAGGACGGGCAAATGAGACCTATTTCAACAAATGGGCAGGTGCAACCCTACTTGAACGAATCAAGTCCATAGTGGATGAGAGAGAGCCATTCACTTTTCTTCTCCTACGCAACGATTCGATAACGATATAATGTACGAAGAGTAATCTACCAACGCGCCTATGAAATTTCTGAATGAGTTGTGGTAACAGGGCCTCAACCAGGCAACTATATTAACCAAAGAAAATGTATGTTAAGAGAGAAACTTATGACTAGGAAAACACATGTGCTTTGTTTGTAACCAATTGGTACGCGTTAAAACTTGAGACTAAAAGTAGGACACCTAGCCTGATCAACTGACGGTAATAATGACAAGGGGGTTAGGCCATGTAGATGAAAACAGCTAGCTAATTACCTCTGAGATTCATTCTTGGTTGATTATCAGCAGCCCTTAAGGCATTTCCAACTCTTAACAGTCTGGCCCTCTACTGTTATGCATTGCCTCTGCCAAGATTGCGATACCGCATCAGACCTTCGAACCTCGGCATTGCAGTTTTCGTCTGAGTACATGTAGCAAGTCACTGTGCTAGCGACGTTGCCGTCACCAGAGACTCTAAGGCTAGTAACACTTATGTCGGTGACTTTGTTACAAGCTTGAGAGCACTGTGTCAAAGAAAAGGAAGTCAGCATTTCCTCCACTATCAGAAATGACAGGACTGAGAGACAAAAGAAAAAGGCTGTATAGAAGGAAGAAAGCGTCGCAAAACGAGCTGTTACGTACGTCAGGCTTGATCACCTTCACAAGACTACCAGTACAGTCCTTCTGCTCGAATGCCTCGCCGCATTGGCCGTCAACAACGCCGTTGGTACCGCACTTGTCTTGACGGGAATCTAAACCGTTTACAGCCCCGATCTGGGAGCCAGATACAGCAGCCAATGCAACGGCTAAAACAGCGAAACCGGCAGTGATGTTCTGAAAGAGACGCATGACGATTGGTTCTTGAATCAAGAGTTGGGGTTTGTGTGTTTATCGAGAAGTGAGGCTGCAACCAGAAGGGACATTTGTCACGAAGTGGAGAGAGTTTGTTCAGAGCGAGAAAGTTCAGAGGATGACGAAGCATCCGATGAAGTGCCTGGCGGATAAAACTTGCGATACGTACCAGACAACACACCACGAACACTCATGCCAATCCTAAATACAGATCTGGGCGTGAGCCTTCCCATTAGACTTTCCTTCGGACAGTGTGATCAACAAGAATCAACAACAGCGGGTCGATGTAATTACCAGAGATTGCCATCTTTTTACGACGTCGTTCCAATCTAAATTTCGAGTTGGGTATCATTATACATAGCATCAAACTGAGAATGCTCTTCCTAATGTAGAATCTAAAGCTATTTCCGAGTAATAGCAAAACGATCAAATCAAACTTCTCATTATATCCAGTGTTACATCAGGGTATCTTGGCCGAAGCCATATCGTTATGCTACATAATTTAGGCAATAATGTCCTTGTTCTTTTCGAGGACATCAGATTCTTGCGCGGGTCCAGCGCTGCTGCTCCAGCGACCTCTGAAAAAGTTGCCGCAGCTTTCAACAGTGTTCTTGACGTTAAGGGCAACAATCTCCCGAGTTGGCTTCTCGAAGAGAAGGTCGATCTCCTCCAGGGTCTTATCTTTAGTCTCTGGCATAAACAGAATCCTGAAGGCCTCCATGTTAGTAAGCAGAACAATATTTAAGCGCCCAGCAGCAAACTCAGATGACAAAACTTACTGATAGAACCAACCCAGAATGGCAATTCCACCATAGAAGCCAAGGGTCAGACCGGTACGGGTCATAGCATCCTGCATGGCGGAGAAGTTGTAGGTGACAATGAACGAAGACAGGAAAAGCAGGCCGGAAGAAGTTGTCATGCCGTAGGATCGAAGGTAAGTAGGATAAACCTCGGAGGGAACAACCCAGGTGAGACAGGCATAGCAGCCGAAGAAGCCCATGTACAGTGCAAGCCCAACGAGGTAGCAGGCTACGGCACCGGTCGTGTTGGATGTGGTGGGGATCTGGTAGCTAACGCCAATGACGATGAGACCGACGAAGAAGCCGGGAAGCATAGCGTTGGCCCAGAAGCGACGACCAAACTTCTCCATGTAAAAGCAAGCCGGGATGGTACCAATGAGCAGAGAGCCACCGCCAACAAGAGACATGTAAGTCGCTTTCTCGTCGTTGAAGCCAATCTGCTGCATGAGGATGGACATGTAGTACATGATGGCGTTGACTCCGGTAAGTTGGCCGAGGAGAATCATGATGTTGGCGTAGATCAAGGCGCGGCGGGCACGAGGGACGGTGAAGAAGTCCATCCAAGGGTAGCGCTTGTTCTTGGCACCTTCGGCGATGACCTGCTTCTCATCCAGAACAGACACCTTCATGATGAAGAACTCCTCCTTGGCCTCTGGCGTAGTGATGCCGCGAATGCGCTTCCACACCTTGTATGCGTCCAGAGTCCTGCCCTTGTGCATCAGGTAACGAGGAGACTCGGGAAGGAAGAGCATGCCGGCGAACATGATGGTAGAGAAGACGAGAGAAGAACCGAGGATCCAACGCCAGTTGCCAGGGACGTGAATGAAAATGGCGGCGACGGCGTAGCCAAGGACCTCACCAAGTGCAATGTTGAGCTGATAGAGAGAGACGACATTTCCACGGATTCTTCGCTCGGCTGTCTCGGCGACGTATACAGGGACGGTACCGCCCTCAAGACCGACACCCAGACCCAGGATAACTCGTGCAGCGACAATCATACCTGAAGCATGGTCAGTATGCTTGATATACACATGGAAAGAGTTTGGATAAATGCCTACCAAAGTTCTGGGCGCCGGCGCAGAGAGCAGCGCCGATAGTATAGAGAATGCAGGATATGATAATGGACATCTTCCTGCCAAGGTATTCATTGCAGGGACTGAGAATGATAGCGCCGCCAACAGCACCTAGGGGCATTCCTGAGTTGACAAGGGACTAGCAGAGTTAGTTTACTAGGTCTTAAGAGTTGCGTGGGCTTTTTGTCTTATTACATTTTGTCTGACTGTCAGGCCTAAGTCGGCAGGCAGGAAAAGATTGGCGCCGGAAATGAGAGATTGATCGAGACCAGAGAGAAGACCACCCATTGATGCAAAAGCAATGATAAGCCAGGTGAAGTACTTGGTCTCGGAGAACTCAAGCTGGAAGAAGCCCTTCTTCAAACCACCAGCAGCCTCAAGCTCGCGCTCCATGCTGTCGATAAAAGCATCAATTTCCCAGGCACCGGCCTGGGCGATGGCGGCGGCATCTTTCTCGTTCACGCCGGGAAGCGCGTTGGCGAGGTTCTCGATGTGAGCCTCATTTTGGCTGTCCGGGTTATGTTTGCCCGAAATTCTCGGGGCAAGTGTTACTCCGTGCATCGTTCTAGATTTTTCGCCCGGCTGCGAGCCAAGACCCTTTTTAAATGAATTGCCAGAAGTACGGATAGAATCAACGGATCTGACTAGGCTGGTGCTAAGCTCCGAGGGATTGCGGCTCTAATGGTCCGGATGTGAAGAGACAACCTGCCAAGGAAAGCCTAACAGCAGACAAGCATTGGGACGCGGCAGGCTTTTAATCCCCTTTCTCACACCACCGCGGTTGATCAGCAACGACATGGTCGGTAACCCATTTTGACCAACCCAGTGACGGCACCCTCCATTGTGGATTCTGCTTTTGGCTTTCAACACCGGTCTGTCTGAACTCGACATTAACATCGTCATCCAAAAAACCTGTCAGGTGTTCGGGTGGAGAAACTGGAGAAAAACGGCCGAAGTCAGTCCGCATCTCCTAGCTTCTCCAGTGGAGAGACCCCGGGAGACCGCACGCTTGGAGAACTAACATGTCGGGGGAGGGAGGGGGAAGCGCAACGTGCGGGCGTAGAGTGAGATGGCCCTTGGGGCTCCAGATTTTGCTCTCGCGTGGGCGTGATGATGGGCCCAGGTCTGGGATCTGGCCGTGATGTTATTCCTCTCACATGACTCGCGACTCCACACTAATGCAGGGTAGCGGTTGCACGAGCCCCGCAAGAATGGGGTGGTTTGACCGAGAATTCTACCGGGCATTACATACTCTGTTTCTCGGTAACAATCCGAACCTGACGCCGTTGGTACTCGTGACTGACACGGAAACATACGGAGCCGTTGTGTGGAGATGGGAACTGCTGAGAAGTCAGTCTCCTCTGGGATTTGGAGTAGCTTATCCAGTATTTGGAGCCGTGGTCTGACGTCAGGCGAAAACGTTGCAATTTCCAAAGCGCGTGGCAGGGTGATATTCGGTAGATTTTGGCCATGAAAAGTCATGCGCCCCCCAGGTTTTTCTTCACCCTGGCCATCAAAAGATACCAGGACCCTTCTATTTTGCCGAGACTCTTCTCTAAAAGAAACATGTGCTGATACATACAACCACACCACCGCTCGGAATCGTTTTCATGCAAACGGGGGTAGGTGGCACGTTTCTAGCTCCCGTCAATCCTGGCCCGGGCCCGGGAGTGAAGCCTCATTCTTGGCTGATGGCAAGTGATATTTGCCCGGCTTGGCGCGCAGAGATATGCCAGGGTAGTTGGCGAAGCCGCACCGGTCGCGTGATGTGAATGGTGCCAAGGCGGCGGGCCAAGGGATTCAGGCGCTCCATCCAATGCTTGTTTTGGAGCTACGCTGCACTAGGTAACAGGCCGGATCAACATGCTGGCAATACGAATTGTTGAAATTTTCAAATTCTGTCAGCAAAATCGTCCATCCCTTTAGCGTCCAGCAGGGCTAACACAGGCGTCTTCCATGTAGGGGGTAAGGTAGGAATGCCTGAAAACTCTGATTGGATTGGCGAACATTGCTATGTAAAACCTGATTGAAATCGGATTTCGGTTTGTTCTAAACTAGTTTTCGCTCCCCTGAAGGAGGTCCCCTAAGAGGGCCTAGTCGCCCTTCTCAACCGGGTGACATCGAAGAGTATGATCGGCACAAGCACAAGATTGCTGGGCTCTCCTATCTCCTAGGATCTCTCTATTGAAAACGGTCAACGGCACCAGACTTTGAACATCGCTTGGCTTTGTTCGGTGCTCTGGCAGTCCACAGAAATTCCAACTTCTGCCCCTCACCAGTCATGCGTTCCGACGATGTGGAGTTTAGCAGCTACCAGTAAGTGGATCAATATATCTAGGTGATTGGCCTCCGATCCTTGCAGGAGGGTTTTACTAAGCTCAGGAATAACTCGGATCAGCCAGCCGGTTGAAGGGTTTAGGTTTCGGCAGTCAGGAATGACAAGGTTGCCAAATGAACGCCATTCAAACGGTACACATAATAAGTCCGCCGAGTTTAGTTTTAGATACAACGCTTGGCAGTCCATCGCCTCCTAGCGCCACAGAGTTGGTTGTGACCTCGCGAGTCAGTCTGCGGACCTTTTGGCCAAAGGCGCTAGGCATTATCACTGAATATGGTAATAACAACATGAAACAAAGATACAATTAAAGAAAATCAGAGTGACCGACGCAGACAAGAGAATACGAGATCAGGGACAATGTTGAGGCTCTTCAAAGGCTCTCTGGTTCATACATCCAGAGTTTGTAAACTGCATCCTTAAGCTTACCAGAGACACTTGTGGCATCGCAAATTCAAGAACTCTCGCTGTATATGTGGTTCTCTGCAACCTGAACATTGGAATTATATTAATAACGGCGCCATAAGGAACAAACTCGATCGGCCTTCTTATCACATGTCCTCACCTGGAAAACTATGTCTGCACAGCCAGTTATTTCTCTTGACTCGAACCACAAAAATATTGAGTTAAGCTTAAATTCTGAGCGGAGCACGATAAGGAAACTATTTCTGTTGGTCGAGGACTGGTACAAGATCAAAAAACGGGGTTGAGCTCCAAGGTGAAAGTAGAAATGCTCCCACCAACTTTAGTCAGAGTTTCCAGCTGTTTTCGGATCTCCATTTGGCCAAGGGCCTTATCGAGAGCCTAAGGGGAGTTAGTTATGATCAGACCTAAGTGTCAAACAATGTTATTGGCAGGGCCATAGCCTACCGCAATTGATTTCCAACCACTGAACCCAGCGAAATGGCCACCATAGTCCTGAACCCCATCGCCATTATGATACTTGATATCGTCCTTAGCGATTCTAGAGAAGGTAGCTGCCATCCCATCCCATTGCTGTTTCACGCGGCTGACTTGAACCTCCGGTGCCAGTCGATTTCATGAAGAAGAAGTGGGTGCTGTCCTGAAGCGTCTCTTCAGGTGCAATGCCGGGAGGGGCTTCGAAGAACTGTAACGTGGGGGGGCCATCCACATACCCCGCCAAAGAAGCTCGGAAATCGACGAAACCAGGGATTATCATGAAATCCTTGATCATGTCGAGACTTTCCCAGCCTATGGAGGGGATTTACTAGCGTTTAGAACTGTGCACCCGCCGAAATGAAAGGACTATCAGGCTTACAGAAAACCACAAGATATCCGCAATGATTATCTGCATTAGTTGGGTTGCTTTCAAGAACACGACCCACTGCCGAGGCCATTGGGCCACCGGCATCATTGAAAGTGGCTCGTATCAAGCTAGGTATCTTGTTGTAGAAGTCTGCCCTGACTTGTTCATTGGCTTTTAGGGGCAGAAAGACGAGCTCAGTGATAGCCATGGTTACAGATAAGGGAATGGGATGGTGAATGACTGGTGTGGTCTGATATGATGCGTGTGTGTGTGAGCGCCAAGGTGTCCTGTTGGTGTTGCGGTTCATTGAGGAAACAAACTTTGGTATTTGTAGCCAGCCTTGAGACTTAGACTCGGGTACTCCTACGTTCTGCTAGTATTGTACTCTCGTGGGTTGTGTTGTTGTGTCTCGATAATCTCTAGACACCAACTAGGAAGGATGCGGAGGTGACGTAAGATTAGTGCGGACTTAAGTGGAACCCTAGCTGGGTACCTCAAAGAGTTCGATGACTCTACTGCGGTGGATCACAAGGCTTTCATACATCCGTCGCTTCCACAGAATTTCTTAGATTTCTCTTTGGGATACGGTGCTGACTGTGACCATGGATGCAGTTGTCTTAGGTGGTTCCCATCTCCACAGCATCTACACCTTTGCAAGCAGCAACAATCAAGTTGCTAAGTCTCCTGTTATCCTCATTTAGTGTAGGTGTTGCTCCTATTTCCCATGCATTTATATATTCTGGATACAAGAGTATTATTGGCCCCGATAAGCTGGTCGGCATGGTTATAGTGAAAAGGTCATCCCATACGGCGCATGTTTTGTAGTTGAGAACTGAGTGAACGGCGCGCACCGTATATGACATGAGAATCGCACGATGAGCAGCGTCAAGAACGTTTGGATCGGCTTCTTCGAACCCGAACCCTACAATTGTCGTGTTGCCAGTTGATTGCGTGTATTGTTGAAGTATGTGGACTTGAAGCTGCATCTCCCTGGCCCATGAGGCGAGGAGGGCTTCGTACGCCGCAGCCTTTCGGAAATCTTGAGCCCTGTCACTGAATAACCGGATGATCTGATACATAATAAGCGCTTGAAGCCTTGCTGTGGTCTCCCTTAAAATAGTCTCCGAGTGGAGTCGTTGCCACCTAGCATCGTAGACCGGAGCGGATTGGGACAAAGTCGCAAGTTGCTCAAGTTCATGACCAAGCAACTGGTCGAAAACATGCTTCTGAGTCTGAGTGAGGGTTCCATGGGCAGCACAGACGCCCACTGCTCTTCTAAGAACCGGATCTAAGTCTGTGGAGACTTGGCTCGTGATTGCGGCAATGGGCGAAGTTCCATATGTTGCGTATAGAGAAATGTACGAAAGCATTTCACTTGCACAGTAACGCCACGTAGCCACATCATCAAACTTGTTCCAAGGCCCGAGGATCGTACTCGAGAGTAGATTCATCGGGCCATGGACCTGAGTGTGATCCTCGGGTCTTGTTATCGGGCCATGGATTCCTGGTGACATTCCTCTGCCAGGAGCCTGCTGGGAATCTTGCAGGTGAATTCGTTGTTTCTCCAAACTCCAATTTAGAGGGAGAAAGAACCGAGTCCCTGAATCCCTTTCGGAGTAGCGCTGAGATGAGGGATCATGACGAAGAATTGATAGGTCCAGTGACTCCGCGGGCCAATCCCTACTGAGAAGATCGACGTCTGTACCTTCAGGAACTAACAGAACTTTGTCTTGGAGACTTTCGCCATTTCGTGAAAAGTCGTCGTATTCCGTTTGTTCAACAGCTGTAGTGTTATCATTCACTTGGCCGAGGGATCAGACAGGGTAACTGTGGCAAGCCCTGCAGAGAGCCCTCCTCGCATATCCGGGGAGGATAGATGGTGGCTGCCGGTGGATAAGGATAGCGGCAAGAGAGTGACTGTCGAGAACATCGTTGGCACGCGGGCAAAGCCCGGTTGCAACGCCTCTTGGACGCAACGCAGGATAGACAGGACGTCTTGCGGAGTGACATGCGGACAGAAGCGGGGCATTGGGAGAAGAAAAGAAATAATAATCGCTCAAGCTGACGCTTTAGATGGAACGAAGTTCTTAAAAAGAGCGGTGCTGCTTATCAAGCTCCGCTTCCTTAGCGTCATATTTCGTGACCCCATGTTTACCTTTCGGAAGTTATCGGAATTGGTAGACTACGCGGGCGTGAATAATTTGCAATTTTTTTATCACTTTTTTTTTTTTTTACTCTTGTAACAGCAGCTGTGATAAACCGCAGGATCTACCGAAGTGAGAAGATATAAAAGTAGTTGCACGTCTTAAGAACTTATGTAGTACCCATAGGGGGTGGTCTGTGCATTTGGTAAGCCACGTCTGTGGGGGGGGCACAGCTGGTACTAGCCACACGAAGCTATTCCTAACTTCACGAAGACAGCTATGAATCAAAACTCTCCATTTATACAAGACCTATAATGCTTGACGGGTATTACACCTGTTTTTAGCACTATATTCTTTTATATGGAATTAGAAGAAGGAGAAAAAGAAGAAGAACTGGTGCTTCCATTCAAAGAAGTTCAAAATGGCTAGAGTGATCGATATGTTATTGATATCTCAAAATACCCGCTACTAGATTTGGCTATGATACATAAATGTCTAACGCTATCATGATTCCCGCTTTTCGGTCCCTTGTAACTGAAAAACAGTCGCTCTATTCTAGTAGATTTTGGAAATCAGTGTTGAACTTGACGGGAAACTTCCTCCTCTTGGCATTATTGCTAACAAAGCATGCCATATTGTTTTTTTGGCAGGAGAAGAGACCAAAACCGTGCTGGTCAATCTTGACAGATGCAGACTCCAGTCCTAGAACGTCAGTCCAGACCTCCCCAGCATGCTCTTCGCCAACTTCCATGCAAAGCCGGGTGTCAGGGTTCTCGTTCGTTGACCAACTCATGACGACAGCGAGACCATAAGGTCTCTCCTCACACCCACGTCTAACCCAACCGACGCAGCTTCGCCTCTCGAAGTAGTCTTGTTGCTTCCCATTTGCGTAAAGTTTCCTAGCCAATAGAAGGTTTGGCAAATTTTGGACAGGGGCTTCATGGTGGAGACCCCCGGTTCCGTAAAGGTCTCCAAAGAAGACGCAGGGGTGTCCTTCGTGTCTGAGAAGGATGAGAGCGTATGCGAGAGGCATAAATTCGGTACATATTGGAGTATCCATGGCTTGGCCTTTCTGGGTGTCGTGGTTGCGAAGAAAAGTCTGAAAGGAGTCAGTACCTTATCCAGATATGCGTGAAAGGTTGACAAACCACTGCGTTGTGAGGCCGTTGCTCCACCAGCGTGTTCTTGAACACCTCTCTGAGATCCGTGTCTGTATGCCATGAAAGCCTTGCGAGGCGGAACATCAGCGGTACATCATAGAGGCTGAAGAAGGAATGCATGTGATCTAGCCAGTTGGTCAAGACACGGACATCTCCATGCCAGAATTCCCCAACAAACATCAGCTCTTGACTGCCCCGCTTCCTGAGCAATTGGGCCCACTCGTTGATGAAGTTCCATGAGATGTGCTGGACGGCGTCAATACGAAAGCCTCTGAGTCCAAGCTCGCCCACGATCCAACGGCCCCATTGGTGCTGCTCCCTCACCACGTCAGGGTTGGTGTAGTCGAGGTTCTCGAGCATCAGATAGTCCGCGTTGCCTTGGCTTGTGCCAACGTCTTGGTGCCAGTTCTTACCGCCTTCTACGTATCTGTAGATTGCTCTTTTCTTATTGATCTGGTTCCAGTCCGTGCCATTGAAGTGCGATTTGTTGTACGTGAATTTGCTGTACTTGCCGCCTCTCGCTTCATAATTGAACCTGGTCCACGCCTCAATCTCGTAGGGCTCTGTGATATCTCTTCGTCTATCTGGAAGTTATGTAAGTGTGTCGGTTCCTCTGCCATCTTGAAGTGCGAAATACCGGAAGGATCCACCTCCACCACCTTTACCATTTCAGTGCTGTCTGCATACGCGCGATGGTTGTGGATTGCATCCCAGACAAGTCCAATACCGTTCTTCTCAGCATCTGCTGCCAAAGATACAAGGTCTTCCTTGGTACCCCATTTCGTAGGCACCGATCCTTTCTGGTTGAATTCTCCCAGGTCCCACGCGTCGTAGATGTCGTAGCCGTTGCTTTCAGGGTCCTTTGCCTTGCTGCCTGGCGGTAGCCAAAGGCTGTTGATGCCGACAGATTTGAGTGCAGGCAACACAAGTTGTAGTCTCTTCCAATGCTTGTGGTCTGCAGGCAAGTTCCATTCGAATGCTTGCAGTTGAACTGGGTTCTGCGGTTTCTCACTACGCTGACGGCGAAGTGACTTGGTTCGAGGCAAAGGCGAAGCTTCCGTTGGGCGAAGTGACGCAATACCTGTTTTTGTCATTGTTGATCGTGTTGCTAGCGCGAGTGGGCGGGCATGAATGTCTATGGTGTCTTTTTTTCGTCTTATCAAAAAGGATTGGGAATTGGTCGTCGAATAGCTCCTATTTATCCATGAGCCTTTGCAATGAACAGCACTAATCCAGTCACTCAAGGTCGCATACGTGTATCCGTTCACGCCGCCCGCCACCATGTCATAGTGGCCTACACTCCAAAGTTCCCAGGGTATTGAACCGACTGGGGACCGCTTCATCTTGACGCTCCAAATTGTGATTGGATGCAGCCAATCAATGCCGATGAAGCCCAATGAGGTGCCGGGATTAGACTTCTTGCTCACGTGTTTCATACATCAGTCGTCCCAAGACTACTATGTAGGCGTCGTTATACGAGTCATCTGGGTTGTCCTCGGGTTCGTTTTTACAAGCCATTTACCCCTCTGTAGAATGCGAAGCATAATCCGGGTGGTCTTGCGGAAGCCACATCCTACCCAAAACGGGCTTCCCCAATTAGGTGGAAGAAACCAGCTAAGGCAGGGGTTATGTAGATGAGCAGCAGCACAGCCGCCGCAATGGGGTTTAATGCATGCGTACTACGTGGCAGCGTTTCCAACAATAGAGATGGGTGAACGGACTATCGCAACAGATGACCTTTGCGGGCGGGGGCCACGACAGCATCATGGGCCGTGCATAATCCAACAACATAGAGCTCCTTGATGTCTTCGTTCTCCATTACTACCCTTTAGTCCTAGGACAATGCATGTGCCACAATTCTTCGGGTGACTAGGCGGGCATTCAGACATTGCTAACATCCTAGGATGCTGTTGCCACGAAGTCAATATGATGCCACTAGGCTGCGTTGGTCAGGAAATCAGTGCTGCTAACCTCACGTTAACCAGTGTTTGCTGCTCCACACCATTGCGTTCTCTGTCTACCAAATCTTCTGGGTTCAAGTACCCTTTGTAAATGCAGTGTGGACTATAAAGGTTGCTCTCCCGTGGCTGCGACGATGTCCCAAATAATGATCCGCTGGCCTATTCAAGCTCGCCGCATTGAATGGTTGTCATGGTCATCAGACGCCACCTGGGCATGTCGTTCGACGAAGCTTTTGCCTCACTACCTGAACGAACATTTAGATATGCAGGTGACACACTTCTTGAGTTCAGATTATTATGTTTAGCATCTCTGTTTGATGTAGCCTATCTGGGTTCCTCTCCGCACCCGCCGCCTTCTATCTCTTTGGTGAACTTGATACGTTTCATCTCGTCATTCATCAGTCTCTAATGTGATCCGGGAGCCCGGTCGAGTCTCCAGCAAAGATAATTGGAGGTTCCAACCTGCAAGAGAAAGTCTTTCCATGTAATCCTCGAATTTCTCCTTGGCGACCCTCAAGCTCTCCTGAATGTGGCTCAACATAGCCTGCTGATCCATTCCAGCTCGCAACAGTTCAGACTCTTTCTGGCCGCTTAGTCGTCTTGTCAATAACAGTCCGTGAAACCAAGCTTTTAGCTGGGATTTTGGTGTGACGCCGTCCTTGAGAACAACCATGACCTTGACCCTGGAAGCCGCGTCGCAGTATACCGTCTCCGAGGCTTCACACCAAAGGACATACTCTTCCTCATCGTAAATATTCAGAAGATTAGCCAACTCCAGGGTCGAAAGATGAAAAGTTTTCATCCTTTCCTGGCCACTAGCCAGGCTCTGAAGTATCTCTTGGAGAGACACACCAAACTCGCAATGGCCGAGAACCTTTCCCGAGTTCCAACGGAAAACACTACCCCAGCGCTCTTCGAAAATAAACTCTCTTTCTGAGACGATAACCGGCGTAAGAACTTGGTCTTTGGAGAACAAGGCTGAAAATGCAATGTTTGCACGTTGTCTGTTGAGTGAGCGTGATTTAACTGCTCTGACCCCTTTCCAGTTTAGGAAAAGGTGGAGTGCTAGCAGGGAAATAAGAGCCACCCAAGTGGCCTTTGGACCTGTGAGAAGCGACACCATGAATGTGCCGGTCTATGTCATAGTCAGTGACGGGCATGTCTCTAAGAGTAAACAGGGGTTGGCATACGATCATGCCCATCAGAGATATGGCCGTCTCTTGACTCGCGTCTTTCTGCTAAATGTTAGTACTGCTCTCTATGCAACTAAAGGTAATACCATGACTTACAGCGTTAAGCTCCCCAAGATTGTTCCACTTGGCAAAGTGGCCACTAAGACTGCTTTTGGATGCATTGCCGGCAACACCACTAGCAGAGTAGAGTAGGCTTGAGAAACACAAAACAAGGAACCTGATGCTTCTCGGAAAAAACGGCGAGAGACAGTCGAGAACCATGGCAACATCGCAGAGGATGTCAGAAGCCAGACGGTACGCCTTGCATTCAGCTTCAATCGATGTTCCAAACAAATGAGCAAATGTGATCGTTGCAAATCGTCCCGTGGATTCTCTTATGACCTGAATAAGCATAGCCCCTGTTGGGGATGCCAATGAGTCGCCAACGCCGAGGCCTAACCATCAGATCAGCTTCCAAAACATAATCGGGATCTGGTCTCTGGAGACCCAAGTTTAGCCGATGTGATGTGCAATAGGTTTACCTTCCCAAACAGCACGAGATGATATCATGCCGGCAATTGAGCCAGCAAACGCTTGGATAGAGTCCTTTCAATCCATTAGTGGTTTCGCGAGCCAGTTCTCGATTTCGTCACCTACATAAATTTGATATGCCGCGTAATCATCCGATACACTGTGAGGGTATCCATCCGGCAAGAAGATTTCCAGAAGCTGTAGCCAGATCTTCTTTCGTCTGACAGGAAGCTACGTAAGAAAATGTCAATCACATGACCGTATTCCAGGTTTGCATAATGGTAAGTGTTCAGGGGTGACCATGCTATGGATGCGCTTACCAAAACGTCGACTCTCGGATGCCCTATGATTGGGATCGACTCGACATATTTAGCTTTGAGGCTCCCTGCCTTATCATATTCGGCAATAGCCAAGGAATTCGACTTGTTCCTTATTGCGGATGACTCCAGAATTTGCGTTGAGCGCGTTGACGTGTTCATGCTGCGTGTTCTAACGAGGAAAATTCCGATTCCAGAAGTAACAGAGGCGTCCGGTCGCAGGAGAGAGAGACTGGGATGAAAGACCCATGTAGTACAGTTGAAGGCTTGCACAGAGAGAAACTGAGTATGCAAGAGAAGGAATAAAAGCTTGGAGGCTCGCAACAACAGTACGGATACGAAAGTATCCTTACACCCCACCCCCGGTGTGCGAAACATTCGGTTCCAAACACCGAACAGCACACGAAACTTTCTACGTCAACATTGCTGTCTCTGCTCGGTCATTTATTCCAGATTCACTGCCATTATTGTACTTTTCAAGACCACAAGGTGGACAGTGGATGCCTGATGGTTAGAAGGGGACATGCCGTGGGGCTGGCAAAGTTTCAGTCATGAAGTGCCTCAGAATGCCACTAGCCAGCCTTCCACGGACGGTTTCAAAAATATCAGATTTTCAAAATTGCATCCGGGATACCCTTCGGGATGGCACACGGAAGTGAAGTAAACAGGCGTAAGATGGGACGATACTTGAGATTTGCTGCTTGATTGTAGCCCAACTCAGCATTCCGGGGGCAACATATTCCTACAAGCATAAGAGATACGGGTACTCGTGGTTTCGCGCCTCATTTGCAGCAGTTGTGAGCATGATTGTTCATTCCCTGGAAAGAATGATGTTTCTCTCAGGGTCATGTGTGGTCAGTCACGCAAAAAGCACGATGGGGCTTTCTTAGGAACCTAAATTTAGCATGACCCTGATGATCCAAGCAACATCTCGATCCAAGCTCGTATTCGAGTTTGCTCAGTTACAGAGGCCATTTGGTGCCTTAGCGTCTCGGAGATTAAACGGTACGTTCCGTGAACTGGAAACTCTCACTTCCACAGTCTCCCTAATGACAGAAGTTAGGAATGAAAACAAGCCTTTCCACTCACATGTGAGTGAAAGGAGTCGTAATGCTTGTTTTTGTCAGGTGTTGGGTTGTACAGCCCGTGATTCGACTGTGACGTCTGCGGCGGCGGAGGAATATCTAGACAGGTAACTCTTCAGCCAAGCCAAGCCAAGGCTAAAGAAGTTCCACTCACGTTTCCAGTCCGACGAGGTACCACTCCAGCAGTTACCGACAGTGCAATCAATCCACGGTCAGCACCTTCCTGGGCCATATCACTACAGTGGCGCGTCCACAAGACAACTTAGTTAATGAAGCTTGGTCAGATCGCAGATCACACTAGAAAACATCTAAATCTCGGAAGCTTCCGAAGGTGTCGTTTAAAGAGGGGGGGTAAGTCCAACTGTTACGATACGCCCATCCGAACATTCATATCTGCGTTGTTTCCAAATGGGAACAGATTCTGACGCCCCTAGCACAACAAATAAAATGGGGCAAATGACGAAACACCCTTCAACACCGGCTTATAGCTCCGGAACGAGGCGCTCGTACTATCTTTCATGCCTTGCCCACAAACGGGCTTGTGTAACAGGTCTTACTTAGCACAACCAAGGAAGAGCGGACATTTGAGGCGTTTATGCAGCCAATCGAAACCGGTACTGATTTTGATTTGTAGTTACTAGCAAAGCCTTGGTCTTTCTCAGGGATGAAAGTCGAAGTTGATGTAGAAATCTGGGTTGCACGTGAACTCAAATCAAAGCTGATCCTCGTGTCCGTGATCGGGATGGAGATTCGAGCGGGAGAACTGATGATCATACACTATCATCATGACATAACTTAAAATCCAAGGGAAAACTTAAACACTTATTAAGTCTTCGCTGACAGGTCGCAAACTGCGGTGCTAGTGAGGACAAGATGTCCTAACTACACGTTTGATTCAATCCGGCATACGCCACTCCAACTCTGATTCCATCCCACGAATGACTCAGAGATACTGCCCAGTTCCGTCGGCACACCGGATAGACCATTTTTGTGGTTGAGACGAAGGGTAACGTATTTGATACCAGCCTCAGTGTAGCCGTCCGAAGGTGACGACGCTCCCTGGCGCTTGAGACTCTTTAGGGAGCAAACTATTGATGGTAGTGTGGGCGCCGCAGAAGACAATTTCGCAAAGACTACTACACATTTGAGACAAGCAGGGGACTAATGATTCCATAAAACAAATTGATATTGGGAGTCTGCGCTACGTATACCTAACGTAGGCGGACAAGAAACTAACTTTTTACAAGAGAATATAGGGTGCCAGTGTGGTATGATCTGTAAACAGGAATAAGGAAAGAATAAAAAAAGAAAGAAGAAGCCTCATGAATCCCAAATAGGTCCAAAGGCTGGTACACCACGGCTCTCCATCTGATACACAAACTTATTCACTGTCGGCCCATTAGAAATGATGGCAACGCACTCGGCTCCGCTCTCTTTGTAGACATTGTACGCCAGCTGCACCAGGTTCGGCCGGCCCATTTGATCCGTATCCCAGATCAGCGCGTCCGGATCCGCGGCCAGGATCGTGTCCATGATACCTTGTCCGTAGGTCTTGATCGGATTCTTCGTCGACCACACCACGCGCGCCGGGACACGGCGCTCCATCAGAACCGGCAGACAGGGACCGATGCCAGACCCCGTTGCGACGAGGACCATCTTCTTGAACAGTGGCGCGACAGCCAGTACACCTGACGCGGGGGTGCCGCGGGTCCAGATCGAGGTCGGCGGGTTTTCGATGATGCGCTTGGTCCAGTCCCCGGCCTTGGAGACAACGATTGAGAAGCCCTTGCCGCTGGGCTCGGGGATGGCGGCGAAGGCGTGCCACTCCACCATGGGACGGTCGGTGATGCGGACGCCGCGCGAAGTGCAGGGAGGCGGAGTGCAGAAGTCGAAGTGCAGACGGACGGCGTGCTTGGAGAGGGGCTCAGGAACGACCTTTACACGGCGGAGACGCATCCATGGCAGCGCGATGCTCAAGGTCGTCGCGGCCACGAGGTAAAGAGCAGGCGTCTTAACGAGGGTCGGGCCGAGGGGTTCGGAGGACATGGATGCGGCGGTGGCGATGACGTGGGCCCAGACGAGGGCGAGGGCGGTCCAGCCGGCGAAGCGATGCGTCCACTCGAACTGATCATGCATCTTTGCGCGGATAGAAGGATACGCCATGACGAGAATCATGGAGAGCAGGAGGAGGATGAGGTAGGTGAGAACGAGGGTGATTAGGTTGATGGAGTACAACGACTTGGGGGCAAGGAAGTTACCGGTCGCGGCGCCGGTGAAGATAACCCACCACACCGTCGCGGAGACAGCGCAGCCCGAGTGAACGCCGCCGTTATGGTAGACACGCGCAAAGTGCCTGCGGATGGAGAGCGGTACCGAGGTCGGCACGCGGGAGCACATCCAGAAGATGAAGTTGACGACATATTCCTGGCGCAGGAGCACGGCTCCGAGGAGGTTTGCGGCGACTGCGGTGGCGAGGTGGTTCAGGGGCAGGGAGAAATTCATGTTGCGGCTGTCCCAAAGGAGGAGGGCGAAGACAGCCAGGTTGGAGAGGAAGATGACGCCGAAGAGCTTTCGGTAGGCGTTGAGTCCGCGGTGGCGGATCCATCGCCAGCCATGGAAGCCCTTCTTGGAGGGCAGCTCGTAGTCCTCATCCTGCTTCTCGATCTCCTCTGCGACGAAGGCAGCCGTCTTCTCCAGATCGATATTGCGGTGAGAGTCGATAACGGTGAACGTGCGAGAGTCGACGAGTGTGAGGCCGCCCTCGCTGGAAGGGCTGGCAGCTGTCTTGACGGACGAGGCGCTGGAGGACAGTTCGGGCATCGGCATGGCTGTGGCGATGGGCGGAAGCGGCGGACGCGGAGGGGCCGTGGTTGCGCCAGCAGCAATGTCTCGGAGAGCACGCTTGTCAACCTTGCCGTTGGGGGTGAGTTCGATGGCAGGGAGGTATTTCCAGACGGTCGGAACAGCGTAGAAGGGTTGGCCCTCGCCAACGATGGCCTTCAGCTGAGGTTCGTCGATCGGCGCAGGAGCCGAGTAGAAACCCCACAAACGATCGTCGATTTTGAGGGCGCATCCTTTGACGACTCCGGGGCACTTTTCGATGGCGCGAGACACGCCGTCGAGCTCGACGCGGAAGCCGGAGATCTTGACTTGGTCGTCCTTACGACCGAGAGGCTCCAGGCTGCCGTCCTCGAGCCAGCGGGCCAGGTCGCCGGTGTTGAACATCATACGACTGTGAGCCAGTGTTAGCGTGGTTGCCTTCCCCAGGTATGGCGAGGGGCGGTTAGGGACGTAACTTACCCGTCCTTTGTGAACTTGTCGGGTCTGTATCTCTGTGCGGTCAGATCCGGCAGGTTGAGGTAACCTCTGGACACCCCTAGACCGCCAGCCCACATAGTACCAGGTTCGCCGATAGGTACGGGGTTCTCATCATCGTCGAGGATGTATACGTTGGTGTTGGGGTTTGGCTTTCCGATAGACAGTGTCTTGCCCGGCCTGTGGAGGTGGGCGGTGTTGAGTATGCTGATTTCGGTTGGGCCGCAGACATTCCAGAACTTGACGTACGGCGCCCATTGCTCTGCAAGAGCCAAGGGGCAGGGCTCACCACCGACGGCGATTGTCCTGATATTCGGGAAGTCTTCGCGTCTGGGCATGTGCTTGAGGACGACGGATGGTGTCGCGATGACGGTATCAACGCGCTGCAAACAATCTGTCCAGAGATCGTTGCCGCTGCCTCTGATGTGAAGTGTTCCACCATTCATCACCGTGCCGAGAATCTCCCACGCACCTGTTCCGGTCGATCCCGCGTTAGCTTTGGCCATTATGGGATAGAGTTTGAGACTCCTGACTTACACATATCGAATCCGACATTCAACTGTTGGGCCACGTTCTTCCCCACGCGGATACCAAGCCTGGAGGGCTCCACGAGAAGCGTGTTGGTGACGCCCTCATGTCTCACGTCCACGCCTTTAGGCCTGCCGGTAGTGCCCGAAGTATATATAACGTAGGCGCCATCTTCGGGATTGACAATGACACCGGGATGGCCCGCGTTGCCATGCTTCCACAACGAGTCGTTTCCGTCGAGGTCCACTACCCTCACCAGGTCCCGCCTGTCTGAGGGCAGGCTGCGCAGCACCTTTTCCCGGAACTTGGGCAGACACAACACAACCGGTGCGTTGGAGTCTGCAATGTCGTATCCGAGCGTATCTTCGGGGATGATGCCACCATCGAGAGGCACGTATTGACCGCCAGCCTTGAGCACAGCCAAGATGAAGACGACCATTTCAATACACCGGGAGTAGACCAGCACTACACGATCTCCCTTCCTCACGCCGTAAGTAGCCCGGAGCTCGTTGGCGAGCACGTTGGCTCGGCGGTTGAGCTCGCGGTAGGTGATGGACGTATCATCGTAGTGTCGTACGGCGGTGGCGTCGGGGTGTGCAGCCGCAATGGACTCGAAGGCGTGGTGGACGACTTGGTAGGGAACGGACTCGCTTGGTCCTCTGCTGAACTGGTTGAAAAGCACTCGATCCGCCAGGGAGAGGCTTTCCAGAGAATGGAAGGAACGCGAGTGGACCATGTTGAGAGATGCTGTACGTCTCTACTCTGGAGTGATTGAGCCCGCCAGTGACGGATTCACGATCGCACCTCGAGAGGTGGGAACCTCGAGACTAATATAGACGTATGTATATCCCGTTCCAGGGGTGGCATCGTGTTTCTGTTTGTCAGCCTGGAGAACCCAGGAGTAGCGACGGAAACACTAGTTCATCTGTTGAAGTACCGCAATTCCTGTTCTGGAAATCGTGCTGTCCCCAGTCGCTCAACTTCCGTGGCCGGAACAAGGTTGCCTCTTCCGGGACCCCGGTCGGCTACGGATATCAAGACTGTCATGTCAGCTGGGCCTTTCTGCTTTTGCAGCCAAGTCCTATGCAAACGAACGTTTTGGATACTGTGGAGAAGGGTAGGAAGTCCGATGAACTGGGCTAGGTTCCCATACAGGGAGCTAGCAAGAAGTAGCCATAAGAAATGATCGAACCATCAATGGACGAACGCAACATCAGCAAGGGGATGGGTGGAGGGGGGTGATTTCCACGGTTCTGAATGACGGAGGTGGGCGGAAACAGAAGGTGCCCGACCGGCATCTTCCGACACAAGAAGCCAAGAAGAACAGCCTGGAGCAGTCGAAAACAACCGTCTGCTTCATATTCATGGTGGAGCGTGGACAGAGATTGCACTGCAACGATGCTTCTCCGTCGTGGAGCCGCAATCCCTCTGGTCGGACGTCGGAGGAGACGTCCAAATCCGGGAAGAACGGGGGTCGATCCGGACCCCATCCGCCTAACCCAGCAGCTATAGCCTACCAGCCGTCTTGTCTAAACTATGTAAAGTATCAGCACTTCATGTCCCTCGTCTTGGACTCTGTAACCAAGGGCATGGCAGCAGAGGAGGCGGAAGACCGACATGGGCAATTAGATGGGAGTGTGTCCTTCGTACGTGTATCGCCAAGGGGATGACCAAGATGTTGCCAATCGGCTCTGATTTGCTAGCATGCCATCGATACACCCACCAATATCCGTATATTGACATAATTGTACGGGGTAGAGATGCTACTACGTGCTCGGCGCTTGCAGACTGTGCCTTGCTTTTGCCATGGTTGTCTTAGAGGGGGGATTACCCCTGACATTCGCGGCTCGTAATGCTTGCAGCCCGTCTACCCGCCCACTCCCCTCCCCTTTACCCCCTGCGTAGACCTCTAGTCGAATGCAACGTTAAGCTGGTCCGCAGTCCCTTCACAAGTGTGGCCCTTGTTGAAGAACGGCTCCCAAAAGAAAAGAAGAAGGAGGGAATCGGGCTAGCAGAAAAGACAACGTATTTGCCTCTCTGCCCTGTTTTGAAGACACGAACCTAACCAGCCATCAACAACCATCACAGCCCTCTTTCGTCTTCCCTTGTCCTCCTACGTTTTCGTCAACAGTCGCAATCCGCTGTTCGTCTCTTCTTCCGCCTCTCGAGGAAGTTGCCCCCGAACGCCATGGATAACCTTCAGACCCTTAAGCTGTCAGTGGACGCCGAGACGGCTGTCGCCTTGGTCCAGTTCAACCGGCCTGCCAAAAGAAACGCTTTCTCACAGGTTATGATCGGCGAACTCGTCGCTACGTTGGCTTATCTCGATGCCCATGACACCGTCCGAGCGGTCGTCGTCACCGGCGGCCCAGACGGTCCTTTCTGCGGTATGTTCTCACTTCTCCATTGTTCGACTCGGTCAAGACAAACATTCGAGGAGATGGCCTCTCCCCCTCCCTGGGAAAAAGAAAAGAAAATTGGGGGGAGTGTTTGGAGAGGTGCATCGGCCTGAACCCACCCGTCATATGTTTCCTTCTCTCCCTCAGCTCTCCCAGTTTTGTTTGTCCGTCTTTCTTTTTCCGATGACTGTGCCCATCTTCATGTGGGAATATCCACACCGTCCACGCAATAGTGCTACGCACAGCAGTTGGCCATCAGGCGACTGTCACCTCGACTTCATCCGATTCTCCACGGACATGAGACACAGGGGCCTTTGTGTTGTCGCCGTGCGTTTCTGATCGATGAAATGTCATAAAAATCCCGGGGTCCCCTCTAATCTAATCCAGTGGGGGACGAGACGTTCGCTAACCCCTGTGGCGGTGGTGCAGCCGGTATGGATCTGAACGAGCTGGTGCAGATCAGTACCGTTGAGGCGCACCAGCGTGCCTTTCTGAAAGACTTGACGGATGCCTTCGCCGGGTTTTCCAAGCCCATCATCGCGGCCGTTGTCGGATTTGCTGTAAGTCTGGCGCCAAAATTTTATCATAGTCGAATGCCGGTTTCCTCGCCTTCTCCTACGTGTCCTCGGAAACAAGACTAACGCAAAAACATCAAGCTGGGCGGTGGTTGTGAGATTGCCTTGGCGGTAAGTACTCGGAAGACTCCTTGCTCGGTTCTGCGAGTAAGAAGATCAAGAAGCTCACTAGCGATGCAGTGCGATATAATCTACGCCGCGCAAGATGCCTCTTTTGGTCTCCCAGAGATCAAGATCGGAACCATCCCAGGCGCTGGCGGCACCCAACGCCTAGCTCGGGCTCTAGGCAAGCACAAAGTGAGTGAGTCCGTGAGCTGGGCCGTTGACTGGTGCCATGATGGTATCCAACGGCTGAGGTCAACGGCCGAGGTCACACCCTCTGACTAACAACAATAGGCGATGGAATTCGTTCTCACCGGCGATCCAGCGAGCGGAGCTGAGTTTGAGCGGCTCGGCGTTGTCAACAAGGTGTTCCCCGGTCCAGAAGTTGTTCCCGCAGCACTGAAGCTTGCGGAGCGCATTGCCCTCATGTCCGGCCCAGTCATCAAGACGGCAAAGCAGGCAGTCCTCACTGGTTGGTTTACTCTAGTGCCCCTAATTAACAGGCCCGGATACCACCCCATAATAGAGGGGGTGAGGGCGGAGCCCCTGAATGTTCATGACTCGCTTACACCGTTACAGTTGAAAATAGCCATCTTGATGCTGGGATGACCATGGAGAAGGCGCTTTATTACTCAACCTTTGGCCTAGGCGACTTCCAAGAAGGGATGACCGCCTTTCTTCAGAAGCGTCGCCCTGATTTCAAGCACACGTAATTTTCGGGGTGGCCCGTACGTAACTTTCGGGAGAGCGCTGCATGGGGTCTTCATCGAAATTCAAAACTGGGGTTTTTAACATCCGATGGCTTGAGCCGACGAACTACACCCCCCGATTGCCGCCCAACTCGGTGGCATTCTAAGATCGCGCGCGTTGTCCGAAAATTGCGTAACGGAGTATCCGTAAGCACTGGCACATAGCATTAGATTCTAGATAGGAAGCTTGAGGATTCAACCTCCTTTTTTCCGTGCTGGAAAAATTGCTTACGCCTGTATCGGGGTAAAGAGCCGAAACCTTGGTCAAGCTCGGTAAGACTGCCACCTCAGGCGCATGCGCGTGCGCGGGACGCGATGAATGTTGCTATGCGCGCTGCAGAGTCCAAGGTGGTGTAACGTACAGCCTGCCATCGGCTTTGTTCATGCACATGGGCATGCAGAGTTCGCGGTGATGAAGACCGACTTGCCACCTTCGCCAAAGTCCTGTTTTGCCTATTTGTGTTATTACTCCGAGGAAATACATGTAAAAACGTCTCGTAATTTTGGGTCCGTACCGTGCCATGTCCTGTTTTCTTGGCTACGTGTACATAGGCCCAGGTCTTATCCGCTACCCAGCTGTGTGTAATGAATGTAGAAGTTTCCCGTGCGCACAGTGCAGCATCCTCAAATAGTGACACCAGTGGTGCCAACATCAAAGATGGAGTTGCGCCAACCGTCTCTTTGGTATTCATGCACTCTTTCTCCCGCAAGCGCAGCCTCCTCGTTCCACATTTTGACGAGACTGCCGGGGGCATACACCCCCTTGAAAACGCCCCGTCCAGGTTGGGTGACACCCACGCGGGTATACAGGTCTGGATCCTCTGGTGGCGCCAACCTCGCTGCCACGGCCTTGATGAAAGTCCACAAATCTTGCGGGTCGGCAATACGAGTCGCTCGCAGACGCTCACGCGCAAAAAGCAACTCCCTGTTTGCGAAATGAAGCACCTCGCTAATACTTGTCGCAATCTGTGCCTCCAATGCGGCCTTGACCGACGGCCGAATGAGAGGCTTCAGCAGCCAGGCGAACCAAGAAAAGCTGCTCTTCCGCAAGCTGTAATCGAGATGATGGATGCGGACATGGACATTGTGAAGGCTCAATATGCTTTCGAGGCGATCCTTTCCTACCTCCACATCAATTGCAACGTCAATGCCGCGCTCGTCTAGATGGAATCCCGCGATACCAGCATCCGTAAGTCTCAATATGCCCGAATGAAGGCGCAGCCAATATCCGAGATCCTCAGCCGCAATAGACAAGCCCGATAGGGTGATCCTCATGAGAGTGGTGACCGAAGTAGTCGTCCGGAACCGGGCTTTCCGAATTTCGACATCGTTCTGGGTCGAAATATTGAGCTTGAAGGGTAGAAATGAGCTGTTGTTAACGGTGCGGCCTGGCTCTAGAATCAAGTTCTCAAGAAGGAGGTCAATCGTGGGCACCGAAATCTCTATCCGGGGAATCGGGATGTACTGAATAGCTTGAATCAACAAGGGTACGAAGATGTTGATTGAATCGGCCAGTAATTCTCCATTCGTATACTGGTTGCTTGGGGACAGGGTTTCGAGAATCCTCTTCGTCGTGTTCAAAAGTTTCTTGATGTCGGTGTCCTCAAGAACAGAGTGCAAGGCCAGATGCACACGGTCCAGTAAGGCGTCAAGATCATCGCGTATGGAAGATTCCGAGGTCAACTCTTTCGACTTTTCTCTCAGCTCTTTGAACCGGTCTTCGGCATGTTCGAAGAAGTCGGGATCCGTAAGCATGTCTTGGAGCAGATTGCCAATTTGTCTGACGAGCTTGTCAAACTCAGGGTCACTATTGCCATGTTCCATGACCACCTTGAACATGCGTTCAACTTCATTCCACTGCTCACGGTCACCCAAAGATGTCAAGAACAGCCAGAAGTTATGGAGCGCGCGGTCGGCCTCCGGATTGGTATCGATATCCTCCTGGGCAACCTGAACAGTGTCCGAAATGGCGTGAGAGTAGACCAGCAAATAGCGCCTAACCAACAGGGAGAGTGTCGAAACGGAATCGGAGTAATCCTTCCTGTCGCGTAGGTTGACAACGGTTTGCTTCAATCTGTGTACGAGTGTTTCCTGCTCCTCGCCTGTGATGTGATCTGCCAGACTGTGGCCAGCCTCATCCGCCACACGAGCGACGCCGTCAGCGACAACCTTCGAGACTCCAACAACTTCATCTTGAAGGTCATCTTTGGATGGCGGAGGCTTCGAATCCCCGCTGGGATGTTTGACTGCTTCTTCCTCTTGCTGCGACGGCTCAATCTCCTTCGCCGCTTGCTTTGAGACGTCGGACAAAGTGAACGCAGTGTCCCGAAAAACCTCGCGTCCAACAGTACTCAGATCAGATAGGAACAATCGGAAGTCAGGGTTGGTGAGTATCAGAGACCCAACTGTTTGTAGGCTCTTGTATGCTAGTCAAGTATCAGCGAAGACTCTGTAGTAGATCCCACACTCTTCCGTAACACTTTGGGTAGATGGAAGGTAGGATTTGGATATGATTCGGTAATCTTGACCCACCCGCAACTGTATCAGCCCTCGCTTTGGCCTTGGATGCTCGAGCACCAATGTCGTACGCGTCAACAGACAGGCGGGCCTTGGTAAGATACCAGATAAAGTCCTGGATCTGGTCCTTTTCGTTCTTGTGAATAAGCAGCTCGATGAGTTGTTTGATCAAGAGCTTGACATTCAGAACGAGGGCACGTCCCGAGTCGCTGAGATCCGGGGTATCTGGATTGAGGATATCGGCAGACAGAAGGGTGCGTAGATTGGTGATGAGCTGCTCGTTTGACGGCATATAACCTTTTCCGATAGCTCGAAGCATTTGATACGTGTGTAGCTTCTCATGAAGACGTCGTTGTAAGGCTGTATCGTCGTTATAGCGAGGTAGAAGCGGCTCGCGCTCGCGTTCCTCGCGCGATGGCCGGCCGAAGCCGAAGCAGGACAGCATTGCGACGATGGAGATACAGCTGAAGCCTATGGGTATACGGGGAGCTCTGCAGCTGGGCTTCGACGCCGCAGACGAATGATGTATGGGTACTCAGGAGTGTAGGAGTATATATGATCTGGGGAAGTATGACGATGTCATTGCTTCGTCACAAAGAACAAAAGGTGAACTATCTGAAAGGAAGGAATGATGGGTGTCCCGAGGTGATCAGCCAATGACGTAGTTGACTAGCATTAGCCCAGTACGTACCACAGGAGCGTCCAATGAAAGGTCACACACAGCCCGGAGCTTGGTATCCGAAGTAGCCCGTGCCATGCCTATCGTTCGGGAGCTTGGGCCGGGGAAATACACCACCAAACTCTATGCTCCGTACTAGACAACAAAGCGAGAGGCCCTTGATAGGCAAACTTGGATATCTTCTCCAGTTCCGATCAGAGTCTGCTCCGTTTCAAGCGCCTCCGCTTGACTACTCCAGGCCTCTAATTGGGTTCAAGGATCGTTACTAATTGCTAGTCTACTTCTATCAACAACTATCGACCCAAATTTCCAAAAACAATCGATGGTCTACTTGTCAAGTCGTCGAAATAGGCATTGATTCTGTAAAGATGTGCCCGGCATGTTCTCTCTCATCCGCGCAGGGTCCCGGCATCACCTTACGGACCCAGCCAGATGGATAACTGGGGTTGAGACAGTGTCGGTTTCCTAGTACTCCCCAGTAAAACACCCTTGTCACCCTTTAACAAGGTTGGCAATTGGAATCTGTCACAAGCGATAAGGTGTAAATTACTGCCCGGTAATCAGGTGCGTAATCCCAGGATTGTGACAGACCTTGCCTGAATCCCAAAACCTTGGGGCTGTATGGCCTACCTATGTTGCTACACCACTTACGAGGCTACCTACCTATGAGCCTATGACTGATGCGCCGGTCATATACCAATTGGGGTCGATGCATACATGACCTGACAGTTTATAATATACCGCTTCTGCAGTGGTACCACACATTCTTTGTATGACTTGGGTTAAATCAGTCTACCGTAAGCACTTGGCAGATTGAAGGTTAGCTAGTAGGTAGGCTAGCGGAAAGGGGTATCGCGGCCGCCGTGATGGGCATAGTCGGCTGGCAGAAACAGGGATCTGGAAGTAGCAAAAGCAGGGGTTAGTCATGTACGTCAGAAGCAAATTAGGTGGCAAGGGCCAGCAAACAAACTTTGAATTAGCATTAGATTTCCTCCTATCCTTCTACACCTTGCTATATTTCCTATAGCCTTATTAAACTGCCTCTAATAGCTTACTAGACGTCTTTAGCTAGAGATATATACTCTTAGCAGTTGTTATTTGTATTAACGTTAGTTATCTCTTTCTTATTAATTTCTTTTATTTCCTTCTTTATATAGGTATTATAGTTAAAGTTATCCTAACTATCCTATAATATCTTCTTATTTAGTATGTCCTTAATCTAAATCTTATTAATATTACTCCTATCTAGATTTATACTAATCTTATACTAAAGAAAGGATTACTAGACTATATTACCCCTTTTAGATAGGTAATAGGTAGCTATTATAATAGTATAGGTAACTATAATATGTTTTATTAATATAGACTACTTAATAGGTTAAATTAGCTAAAGGGGCTTACTAGGCTAGCAGGCTACTTACTCCTTTTACTACGTATACTTATCTATTACTTTAGATAACTACTACTTAAAGGGCTTATTAATAGTAGTATCTAGAGGTTAAAGGAGGGAGGTTATACTAGGCAGTATAAGGCTAGGCGTAACGTAATAAGAGTAAAGTTATAATAGTATTATAGGGGTCTTATAAAAAGTAGTAACGTCTATAACTAATAGATACTCTTACCTTACTATAAGAGGAAAAAATTTATTAGTTAGCTACTACCTAAGGAGATATTTATTATTATAGGCTATATTATTATATTTAACTATTACCTTATTACTATATAAGCTACCTTTACATACTATAAGGTAGCCACCTAGCTAGCTATAAAAAATTAACTTAGGTAGTAGCTATTAAATCCTATTAGTAAAGATATAAAGGATTAAAGTAGCTTACTACTTACTTTAGCTACTCTAATTAGTCTTACTAGCTATAGTACAGGCCCCTTAAGGTGCCTATATTAATCTATTAAGGTATTTAAAAAGTATAGGGGTCTTATTAAAGTTAATAATATAGTTAGGGGGAAATTAAAGGCCACTAATAGGCTGCTAGGCTAGTAAAGGCTAACTAACCTATTAGTTAAAGTAAAAGAAGTTAGTAATAATAATAAGGTATTTAGTAGGTAGCTTTAAGGCTTACTTTATAAGCTAGCAGTGTAAGATACCCTATTATATATAAAAGCCACTAAACTAGCCTATAAAGAATTAGAAAGGGTAGGTATAGGTAGGTAGGTTACTAGTAATAATAGTGTTAAGGTAAATAGCAGTAAAAAGGGCCTAGGCCTCTTACTTAAACTATCTAGTAGTAATAATCTTATTATAGGCTTATTATTACTAAAAGTAGCTATATAGTTTAGCCTCTAGCTCTAGCTACTTAAGTTAATAACATATAAGGCTTATACTAGTAATAGTATCTTATTATTAATACTACTTAGTAATAGTTATAGTAGGTATCTTAAAGTAAGCAGCAGCCTTATTAAAGGTTAGGCAGTAAAGGCTGTTAGCTAGGTTAAGAGGGGTATTACTAGGCTGTTATTATTACTGTTACTTAGAAGGATCTAGTAGGTAGTAGTAGTGCTTAAGGTATATTAGTACCTTAATTCGCTTTCGTTAGGTATATAATTATTTAATTTACTAAATTAGCTTTTTTACTATAAATTACTGCTTAGAGATAGGCGTAGGCCTTTTACCTATTTTCTTACGTAACAGTAGTAAGATTAGTGTATTTAGGTTAATTTTACCTAGCAGTAGGCGGTTAGGCATCGTAAATAACGTGGTGGGTTAATAGGTAGGTTAGTAGATTGGCGAAGTTAACTGTAACAGTGGGCTAGCTGGCTGGCTGGTAAGGTGGATAGGAAAAAAAGGTAGATTAACTGCCTTCTAAAGTAGGCTTAGTGCGGTAGATACACGCTAGCTACTACTAGCTAGCCTACCTACTAGCTAACCTTTAATCTGCCGAGTGCTTACGGTAGATCTGGCACACCCCTGACTGTCCTTACGATGATGACGCACACCACTTTCCTAACTCCACAGATACGCGTTTATGGCGCTAATGTTGCAGAACCACTTCAGCCCTAAATTTCCAGTGTTCCAAAGCATTGTCGATAGGGTTGGTTTATCGCAAGACAATGTGTTGGTTGAGTGGTTTACCTCGAATTATCTGATCGTCTGGCTGGTCCCGTGGTTCTGTTGTCCCATGTCAGAGGCTGTGATAGTATCGAGTAAAGGAGTTAACGATCGGTGTAGTTAGGGTTCAATTGTGACGATTATTCCCATCTGCCCTTCCCTTCCCTAGGATTCCTGCAGATTTCTCCTTTTACGTGCTCCTCGGTCAATAGTTTACCCGCGTCCGGCCCCACCCCGGTGCCCCCCCGGCACCCCGTCGCGGCGCCTGACATCCCAGGCCGGACAGCCTCTCGGCGATTCCGAACTCAGGTGTCCCCAGAATTAGTGATTTGCAAACTGCCTAACTTCTGTTTGATTTAGTATCTGTACTAGTAAACGTGTTGTCAAACATATTATGTCATTGAAGGCTTGGAACTGTTGTAGCAACAAAGTACCTGAGCAAACCATCACCGCCAACACTGATGCTGGCTATTACTCAATGCCTTTTCAGAAAATCTCACCTATAGACTCAATAGTTTCAGGGTTAAAATCGTTCATTTCTATATAGCTAATGTATTTAATAAGTTAGCTAGGTACATTAGAAAACAGACAGTCTTATCAGAGGCAGGGATAGTATCAAGTAAAGGAGTCAGTAATAGGCGTAGTTAGGGTTTAATTATAATAATTATTCTAATATGCCTCCTCTAACCCCTATCTTCTATAGAGTTTTCCCTTTTTATTATTCCTTTAGTAACTAGTTTATCTAGTCCTAGTCCCACTTTAGTGCCCCCCTAGGGCCCCGCTCTAGGCACCTAATATAATCCCCCCCCTCTAAGGTTCTGCCCTTAGGACCTTAAGCAGGCTATCTGCTAGTAGCCCCCCTATTAGCTACTTAGACTATCTAATAGCTAAGCCTTACGCCTAACTCCTAATCTCTTAGGGCCTTAAGCTAGCTACTTACTAGTAGTCCTTTTATTAGCTACTTAGACTATCTAATAGCTAAGCCTTATACTTTATACTTATCTTCTAGTGTCTTAGGAGTTATTTAAGAACGCCTACTAGGCCTAGTAGGCTACTAGATAGGTAGTTATCTCCCTAGCTAACTATCTGCCTTTAGCCTTACCTTTATACTATTACGTTCTAGCTAGGCTCTAACTACTACCCCCTTAGTATAGTTTAGTCTCTTAGCCTAAAGTATAAGTCTTATATTACTTTACTTAGTAGGGGACTACTTACTTTATAATAAAAATACTTTATTTACTTATAATATTTTTTAATACTTTTATTAACTAAGCCTTATAGTACTTCTTTATTATAGCTAAAGGGGTTATATAAGGGATATATAGATAGGAATAAGGTTATAGTGTAGTTTAGTAGCTAGTATATACTACGCCTTAATAGTAAGTATACTATAGCTATAGTAGTCTATATACTACGCCTTAGTAGTAAGTATACTATAGCTATAGTAGTCTATATACTACGCCTTAGTAGCTAAGGCCTTAAGCCTTAGTAGTTAGTATACCTATACTTTAGTAGCTAGTAAGCCCTATAGCACTAAAGGACCTACTAAAGGGCAGGGGATAAGAACCCCTAGTTATAGGAACTATTAAGTAACTTATAAATAGAATAAATAGCTATATAATAGCTAGTAGGACTACTAGCCCCCTAAGGTAGATTTTTTTCTTTTTTACTTTTAAATTCTTATAATAAGAAATATAGTTAT